TGTCAGAAAGCTGATGTGCGGCTGATATAAAACGTCGATAAACAGGTACTAAAATCGTGAACAAAGAAAAAGAAAAGAATTACACTATTCAGCACATAAGAAATATTTGTAATAAAATAATTTAAATGCGAGATTAAAGTAATGTAACACCAATGAGATACTTGATGCAATCAAGTACATCATATACTAGTAAATAAATAATATATTTTTTAGGCATTATATTTTTTTTATAAAAAATACGCGCAAAATATTGTAGCGACAAGGAGAAAAAAGAAGTGCGTAAAGTTTAGGTACATTCAAAAAAAAAAAAAATCTGTATATGTTAATGTAATGTATTTGTACATGAGAAACTAGATTATATATATACGAGAAGAGATTACAAAGAGAAGGTAAGTGCAAAATAAGAATAAAAAATAAGCAAGAAACGAGCAAATAAAAGAAAAGGAAGCAAGCTTAGAATCTGTATATTAAAGTGAGCCATCAAGGAGTGGGAGTGTCCTACTTCGTAGACAAGGACATGTATATACTTATGCTGTATAGATCGCTATTTTTGTCGGGAATTTGCTCATTGGATGATGTTTAATTATAATATTATGGCACAAACCATTCACTCTTTCTTAACAGATTAAAAAAAATAAATATGATAAATACTCTAGAAGAAATAATTATAAATGATCAATAATTGACATCGATTTACTATATATTTCATTAAATATGTTTTTTTTATTCAGATAGAAACATAAGAAAGCTACATGTCCTACTAATATCGTAGATCTGTCTTTTTTCTACGATCCACAGTTTTGTATAGTTTAGTACAGAAAAGGTTCGTAGACCGAGAACATACGAAAAAACATAAGCAGTAAGGGAATAGGCCAATCACAGGCGAGCAATGTAAAAACCGTCTGGAACGCTTGCTGTGATTGGTTAATTCTCTTACTGTTAAAGTTTTTTCATGTGTCTCAGGCTTTACTCCCCAGTATATTATAAAGCTCAATGGTCGCAATGTGTATAAAACAGAGCAAGACAGAGCGGCCCAGAGGGACAAAGGGAGAGAGAAAGAGAGACTGAGAGAGAGAGAGAGAGAGAGAGAGAGAGAGAGAGAGAGTATATATTAACCTAGAAACTCATTACACTCGCTCCGCCCATGCTATTCGACGAAGCGACGACCAATCAGATACTGCCAGATCGTAATTGTGCCCGTGCACGGTTTAATCTCGGCATCGCGCCCAAGTATAACACACGGCCGTGTTCGGCGATGCACGGTATTGCAAGTGCATACTACTGATTCTGACGCATATACATACGCGGCCGATATGCGGCTGTATGCTAAACGGCATGCGTCTATTGCCTGGTAGATATGTATAAAAATGCACTGGGACTTCGTGTTTAAATTCCTGAACTAAAATTATGCAATTTGAGCATTATGAGTTTTATAAAACGTTTATAATATATAATATAATTTAAGATATTCATAGTTCGTTCTTATATTTGACAGTCTCAAGTTTATCCTAAGATGCTATATGGGCCGTCTTATTGACTACAGAAAATCTGAAAGTGAACTTAAGACAATCTTAAATATAAAATTCAATTATAAATATCGACTTAAGATTCTATATAGTTTTTGGATTTAATTACAACTATCAAAGGATTTCTAAGACCACGCCTTTTGGTTTCCCTTCACCGCACTTTACTTCAGCCACGGTTAACGCTCGTCATCGGTAGTGGGCGTGCTCAGGTACAGTACTGTTTCCGAGTCGCATCAGTGAGGACTTTCAACTCTTCCTGAGAAAAGCTATTTAACATCCTTAATATCGGAATGGCTACATTAAACTGTACTTGCTAACCATAACTGTACGTTTACACGACAATGCTAATCCGGTTTAGTAACCATCATTCTCGCGAAATTGGTCAATCACATTGATCACTCGGCTAATCGAGCATATCTAATGGACGTTTAATGAGGTTTATTTGGAGTTTTGATCTGTGTGAATATTTAATATGAATATACACTCCAAATATATACTGAAGCAGAAAATACACGAAAAAAATTAAGCAGCAAGACTTAAGCATTAAATAAATTAACCAATCACGGACCAAAATTCTTTTAACCATAGTTTACACTTGAGAGAATACCGGTCTGTGATTGGTTGATTAGCTTAAAGCTTAAGTCTTACTTCTTAAGTTTTTTCGTGCGTTCCCGGCTTTATACTATATATACGCAATATATAGGTTGCGTTCGGGCAGCACGCTATCAGCGCTATTGCGTCATTCTATCTTTGTTTTACTATCTAATGAGCAATAAAAATAAAATGATGCAACAGCGCTGATAGCGTGCTCCCCGAACGCAGCAGCTATAGTAGTCGCATATCAGGGTGTCCAACTTTGATTTTTGCTGCAATGTTGCTGAATTTAAATTAAGATATACTTTAATTTTTGTACAATAATGTAATTTTTATAAAGAAATATAATGTTGATATTTATTATTATGCCCAAAATAATGTATACGACACGTGTAGAATCTCTAATTCTATTGATAAGAAGCATTATATAAAATGTAAATTTGGTGTATAGATTGGTAATAAAATTAAAAGAACGTTTATAACTTACTTTATAAATTACTTTCTTCAGAAATAACGTATTTTATTACAAAGTTAAAATAAAAATAATAAAATAGAAAAGAAATAAAATCAACTATTTTATATAATTTATAAATATTTTATTATTTTGAAATTTAGAAAATACACGTACGTGTGTGTGTGTGAGTATAGTCAGTTGACTAAAAATATAGTAACATGCATTTTTAAAAGAAAAATTATGTTGACGAGATCTTATAATTATTAAGATCCACAAAATTGAATTTAGTTTTAGTAAGACCAGCACATATTTAGGATAATGCAAAATCAAACATAACTGTTATTGCGTTTGTTATTGTAAATCAGAGACGTCGAAGATGCAAAACCGAACACAAATAAATCAATTAATTACATAGACGAATATTTTTGACGTAAATTTTTGAGTTGAAAGAACATTCCAACGTCTCCAATTTGCAATATCAAACGCAGTACGTGTAAGACAAAAGGATGGAACGTTTGAAAAGGGAGTAAGAAAGAAAGAGAAAATGAAAAGATAAGCGAAATGCATTGTGCGAGAAAGAGGTGAAAAAGAAAGAAAAGAAAGAAAAGATAAGAAAGAAAAAGAGAGAGAGAGAGAAAACTGCAAGATGTGAAGGAAGAAGAGAAGAAAGAAGGGAATAGCAATCGTGATGGGAAAGAGCGAGCGGAGTTGAATAAAGAAGGGAGAAAAGTAGAGAAAGGGAGGGCACTCGTACACGTTAAAATTGCCCGGCCATTAACGATACTATGTTATTACGCTTGTCCTTTTTTGCTACACGGCGCGACCTCCACTCGTGAGTGTTCAAATCGTTGTCGGCCATCTTGGAACATAAGATTGAGAAAAGAAAAGTGCAATAGAGACAGAGACGGAGAGAAAAAGAGTCGTGTTGCATTCCGTGTACTCTTCTTCATCGCTGATTGCAAGATTTGATTTGACGTCACAAATTAATCGATTAATTAAACTAAGAAATATGATACCCTGTAAAAATTTAATCATAAATATACATATGTATATACAACGTAATTTATAAATGTATTTAATTTCTTATATAATTAAATATATGATGCTGTTCCGTTTTTATATATACATATAAAATATGTCATTTATATATAATTATACATAATGCATATATTTGTATTATTCTATGTGTAATATAGATATAAGTTTATCGGTTGCGTAAAATATAATACAAAGGTATGTGAATTTTGTGGAAAAATATACCAATTAAATAGTGTATCTAATATACTGACTATTTCTATATATAATTATATCACATGTATATAATCATATGTATACTTTTTTATCAGGTTGTGCGAATATTCTTTTTTTTATACTATATTAGCTTATACAAAGTCTCTCTGGTGTATAAATCTTTTATCTTATCTTGTTTTGTTGAATAAACAGTATTAGTGGCAATAAACTTCTTTTTTTTTTGTGCTGAAACCACCCCACTACTTTTTTGCCAAATTTTTTTTCTGTATGTCATTGCACGTGACAAAATTTTAATCGTAATCGTAAGACCGTAAGCAAACCCACTAATCACAGATCAGCATTCTAAATTAAGATAATATTAGTAGTACAATCAGCATTTTGCTCTTAGAGAAAAGCAAGATATTGATTGGCTATCGCATTGCATTCTGTCTGCAAGCGTCATAAGACAATTTTACACAGAACAGAATCATCGTGATTGGTTGATTTCATCGTGACTCGTTTTCACTCCGCTTTTGAGGAGCAAAACGTTATGATAGGTAATCAATCAATAATATCAAAGTAGTCTTGTAAAATTGTTTTATGTAAGCAAAAGAGAATGCTGCGTTCAGTAGAACTCAACGCTTAGCAAGTGCTTTGCTATTATTGCTTACGATTGACTTGTACTCTCATAGTTTCAATAGATTTACAAGAAAAGGCCAATCACAGACAATAAGCGCAAAGCGCTTGCCAAGCGCTGAGTTCTGCTGAACGCAGCCAATGAAAATCGGAATGGAATTGTCATTTCAATTATTTGTGATTGGTTAACCTCCCACCATAAATCCTTATTGTTCGGATTTTTTAAAGTGAGGTCTGGTACGTTATTGGTTACATTTCTAACTTTGCGCGTGCGTTTTTGGTACATGAAAATAGAGAAGAATGAGAAGTGTGGTTTGAAGTTGTTCATACCCCGTGCACATAAAAGTGTACGTATTATATAATTTAGTTATATTTTAATATTAATAGCCACCCACTAGACGTTACAACAATCTAATATCGTCAAATATCTTATTAAACCAGAGTCAATCGGAATTCATTAAGCTAGCTGGAGCAGCTCGTGATAAAAGTTATTAAATAGTCTAATTAAAATTCTTTGAGTCACTACAACACTAGTATACTATTAAACTCGAAATGTGAGTAATATAAAAAAGTAATATATATAAAGTCTTATTATATGCATAAACAGATTGACTATAAATTCAGACAGATTACTCCAATTATCTGTAAAGCAGACAAACATAAGGTTTGTAAACAGATTTGTTACATACTATTATTCTTGACAAAATGACAAATCTCAAGTAGATATGTTCAGTGCAGGTTTTGGTGCTTATTTGCATTGGACAGATCTGCTCAAGATTTGGTGTCAATTAACTAGCTTTTTTGTGCTTTTCTGTCTACAATTCTGTAAACAATCTTGAAAAAACTAAATTCTGTATTCTAAATATCATTTTAATGATAAAATGTTTTGTGGGTATGTGACAAAGTCTGTTGATAAAACTTAATTAAACTTTGCTATTACAGTAATTACATCACTGAGTGCAGGCATGCTAAATATAATTAGTGTGCAATCTTAATATATATCTTTATAAGTTTGTTTTTATTTTCAGATTTGTATAACCAAAATGTCTGAAGATGTACCATTTCGACGTATGAAATTTCCGTATACTTTTACAGCTAAGTTTGCACAATTTCCACATGCATATTATACAAAACACAGTTGGTTATTCAGATATTGGCACATTGGTATATTACTCACAATACCTATTTTTTACAAAATACAGAAGTTATGTATGTATATTGTACTATTCCAAAATCTTTATATCTGTCAAAATACGTATAAAACATTGAACTTGTTACAAACTTTCAGCATATTCTCCTGAGAATGTTAAAAAGTGGGCGAAAACTCGTGAAGAAATGTTCAGTGGCACTGGTCATCATTAAAAACAAACAAAGATGTAGAGAAGTTTCACTATTAGATACATAAATATAATGAACATGAAGAGAAAAAAATTTGGAATTCCTCAATCTCTCATAGTTAAAATAAATTGATTTTTAATCACGTCTCCTATAAGAGTTTATAGAAAAGTATAGGAAATGGATTATTTCAAAAATTGTATTTGACGATCTGTATTACTAAAATAAATCGTATAAAATACATGTCTAAGAAAAAACACATTTTTTATTAGTTATATAATATAGCAAAACTATTATATTTTGTACCATAACATTCTCAACTAGAGTCAGAAATCATAAAATCTTAAACACATGCATAAAAAAAATTAAGTACTATTAAAAAAACAAATTTTTATAAAATGTGAATATGTAATATTTTCAGTTGATAATAGAACACGTAGTAAGAAAGTATCCAATTTTATTGTCGGAATCTACAAACAAATTTATTAATAATGCTTCTATCTGAATAATAATGTATTTTCCGAAAGCTTGTTTGTATTCTACAATCTTGCATATTTATAAACAATTTCAAGAAAAGCAAGTTTATAGAATATCATACATCACTCAATATCTCAATTTAATTACAATGAGAAGTAAATATCTGATGCACTTATGTGAGAATAATATTGAAATAAATAAAGTTCTTTCTCGAGATAATATAATATATTGAATTTTGCTTGTTATTTTATCTATAAAAGAAAGAAAATAGTATTACTATTGTACTGCTCGAAAAAAATAAAACTAATCGTGTACGTTCTGCCTTAAAATATTCTGCTCATGTGCTAGTATGTTTGGAAATATATATAGTACGGTTATACATATGCATCTCTGCAAATAATACTGCGGACATCTATTACGAAACGTCTAGAAAAATCGACTCTTAAAAAGAAAAGCACATCTTTCTTAATACGCCGTTAATTCTGTAGAATAGTTTCCGAATTGTACTATATTCCGTTGTTATTGTAATCTTATTATCCGCTGTAGAAAGAATTGGTATACTTTACAAACTGTTTTGAGTTTTATATATATATATATATATAAATATACATATATACAGATATGTATATGTGTATATATATATATGTATATATATAATCTTATAAGTATATATGCTATATATATGCTATATTGATACATGAGTATCTTGTTTCTATCTTTTCTTTTCTTTTTCATCATCCTCGCTGTTGGACGCATTATTTTCTTCAATATCACCGCTACCATCCAGTTTTGTCCTCTTAGGTTTAGGTTCTTGGAAAAGTTCCTCATCAAAATTCAAGCCCAATTCCTTACAACGTTTCTCGAAGTACTTGAGTAATCGCGTACCTGCCCTGTATACGTAACTATTTTTAACAAAATATAGCCTGACTTCTTATATATGTACTTTCTTTGGTTCGGAGGCCAAAGATTTTCTTATATTAATAAAAGTAAACTTTTCTGGCAATATATGAATGCAGTTGTAAATTTTGTAAACAATTATGAAGTAAGCCATTTTCTTTTGTCAATTATGAAACGGTTTCATTATTTATGTTATTTGATCACGTAAATTAATGTCTTTATGACGATAATGTGAAAAGTTAATACAAGTGAAAAAAAATTATCGGGGAAAAAAGGAGAGTTTCGGATAGTAATAAAACAGAATGAGGGAGAGGACAAGAGAATGATAAAAAAAAGCGTGAGAGAGAAATAGAGAAGAAAGAGAAAACAATAATAGAAACAATTGGGAAAATGTGTGCATATATGTTTTAAATACAGTTAGATATATTAAGTTTTAGTTGTCAATATTTGAGTGAAAAAACAAGTTCATTTGTAAGACTATAAAAATCAACATTCTATTCTATAAGAAATAAAGACATATAAATGTATGTTGCTACTTTGTTAATAATTTTATGATAGCAAAAAAATAATAAATTTATATATAAAATCTACATGCGCGCACACAAGTAATAATAAATGAATATAAATAAATACTATATATACTATACTATATATTAATTAGCATTATATAATCTCTGGCATCCGAACTTGTTTTAGAAAACAAATAATAATAACGTCGATACGTACTTGTAAACAGAACTATTTTCCTTATTATACAAACTACAGTTGTCAAAGACCAACCAGCAATCGCTAAAAAATCTGTCCAGCGTCTCGTACTCGCCATTTTCAAGTTTGGTTTTGATAGTACCAAAGTCCATCGGATTAGAAATGATACTGTGGTAATCTGGTACTTCTTCTTTAGTAACAGGAGATAGAAATGGCCATGAATCTCTATGATGCTTAATGTCGGTTAATAAGTCTTGTAATTTAGACATAGATCCTTTTATCGTATTTTTGTCTTCTTCAAGTTCAGCGGCTCTTTTCGTTGCGCGTCGTGTTTGTCTTGGTTCGGCATCATCCGATGTACTACTATCTATATGTAAAAAATTTCCAAATTTAGCGTTACATATGTATCACATGTTTTTTTACATCTTGATTTGAAGACAGTAAAACATTTGTTTACAAAATGTTTTACTACAACTAATATATGATTAATATGATACATAAGTTCGAGCAATAACAAATTTTTCTGACAAAAGATAAATAATTAGACTAAGTAAAGCATATGCAGAAATGTAATGCTGACTTGTACCTTACAACAATACTGTCAACATCAAAATCGCCAATATTTAATGATATAACAATATTATTAAAGATTGCTAACTTTATGGCCCAAAGTTGAAAACAATATGTCGGACTTATGTCATGATCAATATACAGTGTCTTAAAACAAAAGTTAATATTCTGAGAGATAATATCAGTCATTTTAAGTAAACCTATTCATACGAATAGTTTCGTTTTATTCTGATTTCCGAGATTAAATATGCAGTTGTAAAATTATTGTTAAGAAAGAGATAAAATGATATTGATACTCTATCACTTTCTAAGATATTGATCTTTCCTGTTATATATATGACATCCTGTACATATCAATAAATGTATTAGGTAATACTGACAGTATTATTGATTATATAAGATCCGGGCCTATCTTAACAAAAATTGAATTTTATCTAAGAAAGTCAATATAACAATTATATTTGTGTTAAATCAAATTTTTAAATTAGCATTACTTAGTATTCTCAATTAGAATATTCCATAAAAAAAGAAAGTCTTTTTTTATAGAAATTTACGAAAAGATTTTCATATATATAGAATTTTTATATACATACAAATATATATTAATAGAGAAGAAATAGTTTTCTCTGAAATGTGATGATAATGATGATTATGCGTGTATATATGCATGTAGCAGCTCACATATACTATTCCACTACTAAAAATATAAAACAATGTAACTATAAAAAAAAGCTTATAGGAAATATTCTTCTACACGGTCTTTTTAAAAACAAAGAACACAAATTAGTTATAAAGATGTTATGGATGTGTACAGACAGAGTAAAAAAGAAATACTATACAGACCATCCCAGTCTGTAGATTCTGTAGTGAGGAGGCTCTTGGCAAAGCCATGGATGCGAGAGCGTGCTGCTGCTGCGCACAACCTCTCCTTGTCTCTTTCCCTTTCGCGCCCCCTCACTATTAACATAATTTAAATACTAAAAAACTGTTTTACAGCATCTTCTTACAACGTTACATCATATTGTTACAGAATTCCAAGAATTTCGAATCGACGAAAGTCCGAATAAATTTTTTCTCTACTTCAAGTTTTAAATGTTATATGTTTATATATATTTATATATGTATATATATATATATGTATGTATGTATGTATGTGTATATATATATATATAACGTTGATCAATTATTTCTCTTTGTTACCTTTTGTTCCATTCCTTTTTTTATCTTTACATTTAGAGCAAGACCATCTTCCTCTAGGAGCTCTCGACAGTGGTGGTTCGATACATTCTAAATGATAACGATTTGGGCATGTATCGCAAATGATCATCTTTCCACCACTTTTACACGATGCGCACAAGTTTCCTAAGTTTATATTCCTAAAATAACAATAAATATATTACTTTTCTATAACATTTTAATTGTGTATGATCATTTTTGTTAATGCAAAAGTAACTAACACGTCTTCTTCGTTTTCTTCATCATCTGGATCATTCTCTTCATCATCTTCATCATCACTATCGAATACCCGCTTTGCACGATTATGTCGTGTTTCTTTAATTAATATTGTTTCATCTTCTATATCATCTTCAAATTTTTTTCGCTTCTTCATGATTTCTTTGGGTTTGATCTCCGGTGGTTTGCATGCTGTACAAAACCAATCACCAGCTGGTACAGCCTGTAAAATAACAAACCCAAATAATAAATCCCAACAGAAAAATTTATCATCGCAATACATTATTAGAACAATTAAGCTTACGGTAAGCTTCGGCTTTAAACAATAAAGATGATGTCCCCTGTTGCATCCATCACAAAGTAACATGTTCTCTGCATCTCTACGTCTTCGACATATGCGACACTGTGCATTTAATGCGCTTCTGTGCCACGCAACGCTATTGTGTAAGGTACTCAAGTGAACGAACAACTGAGACCAACTCGTCGACGCTATAAGCGATTGTTCCCATCTTTCTCGCACTTCTTCACCCGACCATTTCTTATCTTTTTGATCAGGTCCTAGAGGTTTCTGCAAATATTTTTGTTCTATAGCATGAGAGAGCTGTAGAATAGCACATGCCAGCTGTTTTATTATGGTTTGCTGTTTTTGATCTAGCGGCATTTCGTCTTCACTGGGTAAGCCTAAATACATTCCTGGATCCCTGTACGTCTTTATATTGATACTACCAGTGTCGGAATCAGGAGTGCAAGGTCTGCTATGTTTGAATTCGTTCTTTATCTTGTCAATCAATATGTTAGCGGGTACATCTATATCTATCTCATTACCGGCGCACATCAACTTATCACATTGTTTGTCATAGCTTCTTTTGTTAATCGCATCTCTCCACTTTGTACGATCTGCAATTTTTAAAGATCCCAAGCAACCCGCGTTGATTTTGTCTTCAAAATCCAAAATATGATCTCTTAAAGACATTTCCATCACTTCGTCGACTGACACTTCAGGAGGAAAGTTCAAGTTTGCGTTTTCATATTTATTTTTCTTTGTTATCTTGTTAATCTGTCCTTTGTTTGGGTCTGGAAACTGCATATATCTTCATTACTCTTTGACTTCTTTTTCATAACACTCTATATATGTGAACTTATGTGCGAAAAGCGATTGATAAGTATCCGAAACGACTACAGATAGCGACAATAGTATAACATTGTTGTTGTCGTTGACAAGTTTCATTTTTCAGAATAAATGTTATTTACTAAACTATAGAAAAATATAATAAAATTACATACTTACAATGTCAGGATTTAATTTGTGCTTAGGACATTCATTAATAACAAATAGTAAGCTATCCATTTCTTGTAAAAGATTATTTCGAAGCTCGCTTTCCCTGATACCTCTTGTGCTTAAACTATTTACTAATGTTTCAATATCTTCTTTATTCCCATAAAAGCTCCACTTTGTCGGTGATCTTTTGCAATGAACAGGACAGTCCTTGTCGCCTGTACACAATACCAAACTTCTTTTAATATTAATAAGATCTTGCTTAAATTCTTTTCGAGGACTCATTTCTTTTCGTGGTGATTTGATGCCATTTTTATCTAAAGATAAAATCTTTTTGGGCGATTTTTTTGATTTTTTGAAGCTGTTCTCTTTGTCACTCAACTCGTCTTCAAATTTGTTTTTTAGATATGCAAACATTGCTTCCTTATCTTGTAACTCTGGATGATAGGGAGTACCCTCAGGAAGACAGTCTCCAGGCCAATGCTCATCATTTTCTACAAATAAGCCTAGAATAAAAAAAGATAAAACTTGCTTAACTTTTATACACAAGAGACATAATAATTACATATTTTCTAACATATCAAAACTTTGTGTCAAAATATTTATTTTTCCTCAAAACAAAAACGCAATATCTTAAACTATCAAAAACTTGCCAAAAAAACCAAACTAAACAACTAGAAATATTAAGTGTAAAATCGTGATACCTGGTATAGATATAAATCTCCAGTATCTCCTATGAGCTCTATCTGCTCCCAAATAGAGCATCATCCTATCATTTTTTGTTGCTTGCTGCAACTCTTTCAGTTTGTTTTCATATTCTTCTTTTTTCTTTTCCTCTTCGCAATTACTCCGCGTAAGTTTTTTCGGCTTCTGTTCTTCTTCTTCAAGCTTTCCTTCTTTCTCCCGTTCTCGCAATTTTTCTTTCTCTTCCTTTTCTTTTTTCTGTTCAGCAAGCAAAAATAATTTTAATTCTTTTTTTGCTTGATGTATTTTGTCATATCGTTCTTCGATTGCGTCGCGTATCGATGCAAACGTAAGCAATTGATTGACCAAACATGTAACAATCTTTACTTTGTCATCTAAATCAATCTCGCAGACATTTCGATGGCCCAACAATCGCAAAAGATAACTCTCATTAATCCTCAAAAAAAGCGCTGGGTCGTCGTAGTTAGTATAACCACCTACACACAGTTACATATTAATAGCTATATACGAAATGCTCATGTATGGAGAGGAGGGAGGGAGGGAGGGAGGGAGGGAGGGAGAGAGAGAGAGAGAGAGAGAGAGAGAGAGAGAGAGAGAGAGAGAACAAAGAAGAAATTATAAATACAAAAGAGTACAATAAATATACGTACCTTTCTGAGAATATCGCCATTTAGAAGCAGCTTCGCTTATACGTCCTCCAGAACTTAATAAATGTTGTCTCAAAATCTCACTAAGTGTTACGTGATCTAACGTAAGTTCTGATAGTTTGCATCCTTGATAAGTTGGACACCATCTTGAAGCCATTGTAGCAAGTTTTACAGCCTTTGCCATTGATGATGCGTCTGCGTAAGAACTAATATCATCCAGCAAAACAGATGCTTGCGCATCAATCTCATTATCTTCTCCCGCTTGATATTTAAATATATTTGATAATAACATTTGCAAAAGATCACTCCATGGACCAGAAGCTTCTTCAGTCAATAACGCCTTTTCTAATAGTTCTAAATTAAAGCCTCCTGGAAAATATACAGATGTTTCTAATTCTTCATCGAAAAATTCAAGAAACTCCGATATCATAACAAAGTCTCCAAATTTCTCGTTTGGTATGTTGCATTTAATAACAACAGGTTCAGGAATAGGACAGAGATCTTCACATTCAAGATCTTCTCTTGGTTTGTTCCACTTTTTCATGTATGCAGCCAAAGCTGCTAACTTTTGTTTTCTTTCCTTTTTGTGCTCACTTTTCAATGCTCTTTCTTCTTTACGCTTCGCCTTTTCTTCCAAAGCTTTTGCTTTAAGTTCATCTTTAAATTTGCCATTCATTCTGTTGATACAAGTATTGCAAAGTATTAAAAACCTATTAGTGTGCCTCTCCTTTCTCTTTCTCTCTCACATGCGCACGCGCATACACACCATCTTATTGAATATGTATTTACCTTGGCTTTCGAAGTTTCTTCACATCAGTGTCATTAATTTTTGTACTGTCACTAACTTTTCCTTGTGAGTTTGCTTTTTCAAGTGTTTTTTGTTTTGACACATTTGGAACAAGAAATTTATCTATTGATTCTTGCTTTTGTTTGATAGATTTTGATGTACGCAACGTAAAATCAGGTAGAGTTCCAGCAAAAATGGTATCAAAACGAACTTTGTTAATACCATATTTTTCCAACACACTTTCCTACAATATTAATATAATATAAATCAAAATCAACACTACAAATTAATATCTTTGGATAAGGATTTCATTCTGATAGTAACCTTGACAACCCATATACCGCTATTATTTTGTTCACAAAGCTGACGAAGAAATATTTTATTACGCTCTCTACTATAATGTTGTTTCCGTCTTCTAATCTGAGATGCTTCTACAATCATAAGCTGACTGATCTCAGAATCCCCAGAATCCAATTGTTCTACTTCATAGCGAAATAATCTTGCAGGTGGATAATAATAATTTTCTTGTGGAGTTCTAAAATAATCATATACAATATTAAATTGATAATACAATATTGTTTGCATTACATCACGCACACATTGTGAATAAGATAAATTTATTTACCTGCTATTTTCAGACATATATGTTTTAAGTTGTTGTTCTGTTGGTGTAATAACTTGAAGAACATGACAGTTATACCACGAGTCCTCAGTAAAACTAGCTTCTACCATTTCTCCCACAAAATACCGATCTCTTGCAAATTGGTAAACATCTTCAATCATTTCATTAAAAGAAGATCTACTTGTTTTGCTAGCAAGGTACAATATAGGAATTCGTAACTAAAAAATAATGTTTTATATCAAATATCAAATTGCTTATTCCTAAATTCTTTAAAATTTTAAGTCTTATACCTCCATTGGAAATTCTTTCAAACTCTTCTTTGCATTTTCTTCACATTGCAAAGCTTCTTCAAAAGTCATGTTACTTCGACCAGTAATGCTGCATGACCATATAAGTGAGTTGCACAAGATAATGCGTTCACAAAATTCACTGTTAAGAAATAATTTAGTATAATTATTAGTACACCATTTATAACAGAGAAATTTCTTCACTTGTGTGTATATGCATACACACACACGTAACAATAAATTTATTTTTTTATACATTTACACCTCCCATAATTCAATTTTTTCTTTATCCCTACTTTGTAATAAGAATTCAGTATGTGCACTGTCATAACAATTAGGTTTTATTGTTTGCATGTGCTTTTATCTCTCATTACCATTTACAGTAGTGAGATAGAAGTATAAAAAAGAAAGAAATTAAGATAAGTAAAAGAACAGTTACTAATACAAATATTAAAACTTAATAAATAGTATATTAAATATTAACAAAAACTCAATTATTATTACGCCTCAAAACTAGTTTAAACTGAGATTCTTAGCTGAAACAACACTGATTGTGAATATCTTAAGATTTATATTTATAATCATATTTTAGCTGAGAATTTCAGTTGAAACTAGTCTTGAGATATTTGATTCAATAAATAAATCTCAATATTTAGTTTGACATTTATTTATAATGGCAAAGTTAGACATAAAATTGAATGTTGAAAAAAATAGTATATATGAGAGATTACTAAACATAATATATAACTTTTTAAATTTTCACTAGAAAAAACTCTTAGTATAATTTTGCAACAGGAATATTCAATTTTCAATGAAGTAAAAACAAAGTGCAAATTGGTAACAATATCTTTAATCCAACATGATAGAGCAAACTTGTCATCTGTATATATATACTAGGAAATATGATTTCTCTTTTCAATACGAATTATCATTGCTGAAAGGAGATGACATCCAAGCAGGAGATTTAGAAAACCTAACCAAGTCTTGAGAAGAACTGACGTTTTAATGAACTTACTTATAATTCTTGAAAATCTCGTTTGTTACTTCGCAGTGATATACCTCGTCGTCATCTCTGAAGTCAGATGAAACGTGAAGCCTCTGAAATGGCTGTTTGCGCAGCAGCGGCATTTTGACGATGAAAATATGAAACGAGGTGCTCTCGTTGCGTCGTGCTGGGAGATCAGTATCGTAAATAATAGAACACTCGACCGTGAAAATGCTGTAATGTCGCTCTCACGCACGATACTTCGCACATATGAACGAATGCATACGCTCAAGTGACACGTGCGGACTTCCCGCTATTTGCCGAAAATGAACGTACATACACCGCTAATCTTCACAATAGACATTTGGGAATGCAAATCGCGATACAGCACGAGGCTGCGATCGAAAACCGCGTATCAATTCACGCGGGCATGTACATATGTGTATCTTTTACCGCAATCGCAATGATCTCATAACAAAGCGCGCAATTTCAACAGCGCCGAACGCCACCAATAAAGGTACCTTTTCATGCATCGCTCATTGCTCGTTTTCAGCGAAAAAACCATAGGCGTGTAAAGATGGACTCAGCATATCTGCATGTGGAATACATTTCCCGCTTTAAGAGCTATCGCAGACAAAATGGCGCTTAGCTGCATGTGCATAGCATAAAACCATTTGAACCAATAAGCATCTAGCTTAAGCTCGTGTTATACTGCGTATTGCGGACGCGAATCGAAATTTATCCAATTCAAATAAGGCAGCCACGTTTTATACATTCTACAATAAAGTACTATCAGTCATTGTAATATTTATATAAATATATATTTATTGTCTAAAATACGATAAGTACTGCGTTTACATCAAACTTTGATGCGAATTGACATTTGCCGCGAAGATCAAAACTAACAATCGATTTCTGAAGCCTATAGTTACAAATTTTTATAATGGAATTGTGGCCTATGCTAACGGACACAGATATAACATTCATTAGACGTCTACGTCCATGTGACGTTCTAACGAACATGTAATTGAGATTTGTGTAAAATGTTGTTTTGTGTGGGACATCATAAACATATATGTATATATTTAATGATTATAATAACATGAACATATTTTTCTCTTTTTAAGTTTTGTATTCTTCATAAAAAAAATGATAAAGCAGCAAATGAAAAATAGGCAGCAATGCGGAGTAAGAATTATATTGTAAATAGTTTGGAAAAGTTTTATACAAGTTTATATATAATCTCAAAATAAATATAAAATTCTGCTAAAAACATATCTGTCTATAATATTTCACGAAGTATATCTCTGTCTTCTTTTTATCAATATAAGTTGGAATTATCATGTTTTGTGACCAAGTTTTTTACGTATTTCAGACTGCAATCACTAGATAATCTAGAAATAATCCGGCAGAAACTCCGTATCGCGTAATTACTAAGATAAGATTAGTATCTACCTTTCTCGATGATTTTCGACAAAGTAGATTTTCAAAACTAATTCTCGAGCACGCGAGAGAACGAATACCAGTGTATAACTTCATTTCGACTCGAAAATGCTATTTAATCGCCGTGGCAATCGGCGATGAGAGCACGCAAACAACGGCAACGCGAAAAGGAAGAGGCACGCGCGGGAGACAGGAAAGAACGCGGGCGAAATTAATTGACCCTTTGCTCGCTTGTTTACAAAATATCCGGTCTCCAAAGAGAACTCGCGCGAACCGCCGCGCCGTCGTGTTGAAGCGGACACCGTCGGTACCGCTGCGCGCGCATTCATGACACCGTATCACGATAACGTATTTATTTTATAACACAGTTAGTTATATATGAACGCAACACAATTTCATAATAATTTAATGAAAGATATTTTACCGAAATAAATGTTGAATAATAAAATTGAACTTGTTGGCCGTCTTTGTCTCAGTCGAGTAAATTTAAAAAGTAAAACGTACGATGGGGGCTCTTTACACAGTATCATCGCGGCCCTGAGAGCATGGTCCGCCGCCACCGTTCGGTGGACGCACTACGAACAGTTCCACAGCAGTTCGGGTGCCCTTAACCGTGTTCACGCACGCTGTCGAACGAAAGAGAACCAAATAGACGAAGCTAGCCTAGTCGAGGTGACCGGCGGCGAGTTACCAAAGGACGTGGGATTCGGTAGTTGTTTTGTGTTTAACCCGCGCCAAACGTGGCTGACAGAGACCGGCGGCGTCAGCTTCGCGTGCGTCAAGTTAGCTACGGGACGTTACGTGCGAGGGGAGGCACACACGGCCGTGACGACGATAGGCGAGCGACGATCGACGGACGGTCGATCGGTTGTGCGGTGCATCCGTAACGACGAACGTCGACTCGGGTGGACAACACCGCAACGGTGACAAGTATAAAAGCGAGCGGGACCTACGAGCGATTCTTCCTGCGTGTCTGATGATCTCCTCCGCGTTACTGCTGCTGCTGGCGGTAAGATGGCTGTGCAGCTGGACGGAGGAGGGAAGGAGGATCTGAAAACACAATTCGTCACGCGGGAGGGCACGTACAAACTGATGACTCTGTCGGAGTACTCGAGACCGAACCGGGTCGGCTACACCAACAGCCAAGGCAGCACGTCCGTCAGAGTATCTTTCGTTACGTTGCCGGACCCAGCGGACCCGACGGGCGCGCAAGGTCTCGGCGATCGAATGTGCTTCAATTTCGGCAAGGAGCTCTACGTCTACGTTTACCGAGGAGTCAAGAAGGTAAGTTCGGTACTCGCGACGACGACGACGACAATGGATACAGAGTGACGGGTGCGGGATTTTCCTCAATCGCGAGCCCGTTGTCACGACCTAACCTCGCCAATGCCGCCGCGGTAGAGACTCCATCTTTTTATGAGTGTCACCACGCCTTGCGTGCGCCACGAGGACATTTGTGTTCTCCCGCGATGACGAGAACGCGGCGTCGAGAGTTTTTCTAGAAGTCGAGCCATGTGGAATCGTGTTTGCGAATGAGACAAACGGTTTCAGAGCAAATATTCGACTGACACTTCTCCGAAGCATCACTATAATTATCTCACAATCGCAATGTAAATAGTAGCAGATACTGCTGCTTAAATTACTAAAATTTTAATCGGTGATTAGCAAATACAAAATTAAAAGATTGATATAACAATCTCTCAGATAAGACAGATAAGACAGATTTTTTATGTATAGATTTTGAAGAAATAAAGAGAAATGAAGTATGTGTTACGAGTGCGCACATTTGAATTTCTGAGAAATTTTCAAACTCAAATGATTTGCTCGTGAAAGAACTGATTGTAAAAGTTCTTTAAAATTTTTTTAACACAAATTGAGAAAATTCAAAACAGGTTGATATATTATTAAAATGTTTTAGGCTGTGGACTTGAACAAACCAGTGGACAAAAAATTATACAAAGGAACTAATCCAACTTGCCACAATTTTAATCAAACGACAGCGACAGCTGATAGTGCACCACTACTGGTGGGATTTTCTACTGGACAGATACAGTTGATTGATCCAATAAAAAAGGAACTTAGCAAACTCTACAATGAAGATGTATGTAGAATTTAGCATAAATCCCAATTTCTTGTTAGATATCTGATGCGCTTGAGGAAGGTTTCTCTGTGTAAGAACTTTGCTATTTCTCTTGCATTATATCTGCAAGCTAGTTTCTATCAAGATAAATAATACACTAGTTCAAACAACATACTCACTATCTACCTATGTCATAGTTTCTAGCAATGTATACAAAACCTGTCAGCACTTATCCAATCTTTGTTGATATGTGTGTTATCTTATTGAAACACGATAAACTAAGAAATAAATACTAATTTAAAATGCTTATAAGGCTCTCTTATCCGCCGTTTCCTGCGATGGTTGTATCTAACATTTAGCGGCACATTGAGTTGTACTTCATGCTGGTAGCCTCACTAATGCAATTATAACTCAATCAAATAATTAAGCTCAACAAGCAACATTATATAACTTTCTGCTATCTTCTCATAACAGTCTGAGGTTTTAGCAGAACAATTGTGCCGTCTATTTTAAATATGACCTCAATGATTTTTCCGGCTTACAACTCTTTCCCACCTATGCATAATTAATACACAGCTATTATCTCTTTCTAACATAGTCTTCTAATGAGTCTTTCTAATAAGTCACAGCTTTTATTTGTCAACGTTATAACTTTACATTCTCTTAGAAAGATTTATCATTAATCATTATTGCATTGAATGTTTTTTTCAATAAAAATAATTAGTAAATAATCTTAAAAAAATATAAGATTTTTAGATCGTCGAAATATTAATTGATATGCCGTTGTATTTAATAAAAACAATTCACGTTTCAGAGGCTGATAGACAAGAGTAAGGTAACATGCATCAAGTGGGTTCCTGGCTCGAACAACTTATTCCTGGTCTCTCACAGTTCCGGACAGTTATACCTCTACAACGAGGAACTGCTATGCGGCACTACTGCACCACACTATCAGTCGTTTAAGTCGGGCGACGGATACGCCATATACACGTGCAAGACCAAATCGACCCGGAATCCGTTATATCGGTGGGTGATCGGCGCGGAGGGTTGTTGCATAAACGAGTTCGCTTTCAGTCCGTGCGGCACGAATCTTGCCGTCGTGTCCCAAGATGGCTTCCTGCGTGTATTTCAGTACAACACTATGGAGTTGGTTGGTTCGGCGAGGAGCTACTTCGGCGGCTTTTTGTGTGTGTGCTGGTCGCCCGACGGCCGTTACGTGGTAGTCGGCGGCGAGGACGACCTAGTGACCATCTGGAGTTTCCATGAGAAGCGGGTTGTGGCACGTGGACAGGGTCATCACAGTTGGGTGAGCGTGGTCGCCTTCGATCCGTACACCACATCGTACGGTGATCACGATCCCGACTTTAGCGGCTCTGACGACGAGACAACGATGCCGCACAACAATCACAATCACTTCCACGAGAAATCACATCGCCTGTCCACGACATCACAAGGCGGCGTACATTCGAATCGGAACTCTTGCGGCTCCGAACTAAGAATGTCGGGTGGTACGTGTTACAGGTTAGGCAGCGTGTCTCAAGATACCCAGCTGTGCCTGTGGGACATCACAGAAGATGTTCTGAGGCAACCAGTGTGTCCCAAGCAAAGGCCATCTGTGGCCAGCACCAGCGGCTCGCTATCGGTCTCGGGCACGTTTAACAGTGGCAACGGTACGGCAACGACAGCGAACCATCACTCGAACTCGAATGCTAAACACAATAACTTGAATAACGTAAATTTCAAGGAGAACGCGAGTGGTAATAACGAGACTAGTAACAATAGCACGAGCACAAACGCCGCAGTGGCAACCGTAAACTCGCTTACGCAGAGGCTAGCGGGTCTTGGTTTTGGCGAGCGTAAGGGTGATAATCACAAGAGAAACTTTAGCCTCACTATGCGCGGCGGCGGCGGCAGTGGCGGTGGCGGTGGCGGTGGTGGTAGCAGTAGCGGTAGCGGTGGCAGTGGCGGTGGCGGTGGCGGTGGCGGCGGCGGCGGTACCAATACGGCGGCAGCGATCAACAACAGCACGTCGACAGTCGTGCAAAATAATGGTAGCGAGAAAGGAAGCACTGGGAACTCGACGAACACGACGAGTAGTAGTCTAAACAACAGTGTCGGTGGGGGTTTAGTAGGTGGGACGGGTAACAAGAAGGTTAGTTCCGTGATGGACGATCCCATGAGGTTGATAGGAACCGCCTGGTGTCCCAGGTTCGACGAATGTCCAGTCCTCGAGCCGTTGGTGTGCAAGAAGCTGGCGCACGAGAGACTGACTGAATTAGTGTTTAGGGAAGATTGCTTCGTGACGGCGTGTCAGGACGGATACGTGTACACGTGGGCGAGGCCCGGCCACATGGTAGGTCCTCTCACGATAAGCAGCACCCTGCACAGGCCATCACACTATCATAGCAACAACCCTTACACTAGTATCAATTCCATGCGACGTAACGACCTCTGATGTAATCCGTTATCTCCAGATCGTTATCTAGCAAGTCCACCACTTAGAATCTGTTAGTTACTGAGAATTCTGTATGTACATACATAGAGTTAGGAAACTTAGGACAAATGTTATCGTGACAAAAATGGCACGGATAAAAGAAAACCCTCTTGTAACGTTCTCTAAGTGAATTTATCCACCCGCGAAGGTGGCAACAATCATTTGCTTTGTTCGATAGTATTAAACGGGACACATACTGACAAATTTGGTATTACCTTGCCGGATGTTTGATAACGATCATGTCACTGTTATTTAAGTTTTTTATATATGCTACAATACTTAAAGTCCCTGTCTACGACTTTATAAAGAGTATATACACTTGTGTTTGAGTTCTATTAATAATTGGGAGATATGTCATCGACGAGGAGAAGCATTGAAGATTGTTTAGTATTTTTGTCTAAGTTCATATTGTATATGAATTACAGAAATATGTGGACGGACAATACTATGAGTGAACGAGACTAAACGTAGCAATAATCAGGTCTTTGATATACTTTTGCGAGACATTTTCATTCTTTAGCTGCGAACGCTATGTACATATTTTTTATTTGAAATTCGCGTAGATTTTACATACATCCTGTATACTTGTGCAGAGTCTATATGTAATTTCTTTATAGAGTCGATTTAATATTATCAATAACAAGGTCCCTCGAGAAGTCAAATTCTCTGAGAAGATAGAAATAAATAAAAACCAACTATACAGGTGAAAACGCAGTCAAAGAGTCAAGCCAGATCTCGTTTAATCTTTTAACGCGACGTTTGTTATTATCACTCGTGTTCAAAGATTGAAGGACTTTTTTCGTTTATTGAAAACCAATAAACGAAATTTTTCGAATCTAATTTTTTGTCTTTCGTTCAGGACATTCCACTGGCTTAATAAAAAAAACTTGCGCGATGTTCTCGAATCGAATGTACAAGTTCATTGCATGAAATTAGGTACTTGAAATTGAGTAGTGTAGAGCGCACAAATTAATATTTTATTATTAAAATATGTTTGCGAGGAAACGGACGGAGCTTTAACACATCTTCTATTTGAATGTGATCGATTTTGTAATATCAGCGAATTTAGTGCATGCGTCGCGCGAACGAAGAGCAGCCACGTGTGTGTGTGTGTGCTTTAAAGTTCATTCATAGTATAGTCTGTCATTGATATCTGTGCCTAACGATGGTCTGGTCAAAGATGTATATTCTCGCGGTGAATGAGCCGCGCGAGAGCCTTGATAGATTGTGAGTAAATGATATATTTATGTTTTTGGTTCGCATCCTCGAAAGCAATATCGTTTAAGCCTTACGAGGTCTCCGTGACAGGGCAGGCCCCTTATTAGCGAAGAAAAAAACAACTTTCTTTCTATCTCCTGTGTTATTAGCTTTAGCTTAATCGAGCATAGAGAGTGAAACAAAACAAAAAAGCAAAAAGCAGCCAAACTATCGTCTCGAACTTAACGATTACGACATGCGAGAACATTTAATCCTTTGTTGAAAACCGATAAATTTTGCCTTGTTGTACAATAAAGTAAAAAAAAGTTTGAATGAACGATCGCTGGCTTGCTTCCCGCTTGTTGAAATTTTGTTCGATCAAGTGCAATGCTCCAGGCAGAACGGTCGGGAAGTCTTCGGGCGACACGTGTATACATATGCTTTACCGTACATATGTATAGCAACACGTAAGATACTTTATTTAATTTTACAGTTTGCTGTTTCGCATGATCTTTTCTTCTGGTTTCTTTTTTTACGTCGCACTTTTCGACGATTATACTAGGTCCCGATACTAGGACTCGAATAGTGTTTCCTGGCGTTTTGCATAGAGCATTTGTATCACAAAATTACCCTACATTCACGTCCTCCCTTTCCTCCTCCTGTCATTATGCAGCCTTGACCAAAAACACGGTTTAGTTAAGTTTACTTCTGGGTGTTTGTATCCAGTCATAGTATCCAACGAATATCCAGGAGTCTTAAACTCGCTACATTGCGTTCTGTTAACACGTTTACAGCTACGGCATATGTAAAAAAAAAAAAATCTTTTTATGGCGCAAAAACTTTGATTTTTATTGTAACCAAAATAATCAGCGTTCACAAATTACAACAAATATTGCAGTGCGATTATTCAAATTCAAAGAATAGAATCAATTAATTTGTTTAATCAATATTGTTATTAATTTGTCGAACATAGATTTATTGCAATTCACACAGTTTCAAAACTTTTGGCCAACGCTGTGAACAATATCTGATTAATTGCGAAGCTCGCGATATAAAGTTCACTATAACGCGTGCGTTGCTTCTTTTGATAACGCGACTTATAATTTTGATAGCGCGCCTTATAATTTTTAATCGAGCGATGCTTGCGCTTATTTCTCAACGCCGAACGAAAGCATTAATTCCTTTTTCTCACTTTTGATTGATCGGAAAGATTAATGTTCTGTACCACGCTTTGGCTGATGTAAGAGAATATCGTGGATGAGACTTCCCTCATGAGTTATCGCATGGTACGTATATGACTTATCAGTTTTTCGTTCTATTTTGCTGTATTTACCGCTTGTGATTGGACTTGTCATGGAAGTAGAATAGTATTTTATCACGCTCAAAGTGTCGTTTCACATACGCCGAGTAGAGTTTACTCGACGGCGCTTCCGAATTTTTACACTACAATCGCACTTATACTTCTCTGCTCTCATGCACTTGCCAAAAATTTGCATTATCTCCGAAAAGTTTCGACAAAAAACATATTTATAATATCAATAAATAATATTATTTACAGGTCATATAAAACTTCTTTCAATAAAGGTATACAGTTCTTATCTTAGAAAATTATGTGAATTTCTTCAGCATTTTTTGCATTTCTTTTTTGCTATAAATTGTTAAGAAAAACCTCTTCGGATAATCACAAAGAGATTGACAACTTGAACTTTTCGGGAATAGCGTTTAAGATGATTGGATTAGAAACGTGTATATATATTCTTTGTGTCAGCGTGTCCGGTGCCATGGTGGGAGAGATTCATGCTTCCTTTACTTTCAGCCGGGAATCGGTCAAGTTGGAAACGCCGCTCTCCACGTGGTCAGTCCAGCGGAAGGCGGCGGTACCATAGTATAGCCAAAACCAGATACCGGCGTCGGTCCACAGGGACACCGGGAAGCGCAGGAAACGTCGCGGACGTCATCGTCCGAGGTGCAGTATCAGCAGCTGGCGTGCGCGCGTCGACGTCACTTGTACTACGTATGGCCGAGCGAAAGTTATTCCGGTACAGTTTAAGCGAGCGGTTCGAACTCGACGTTGTCGCTCGGTTAAAGGGCAGGCGAATTAAAATTCGCGTGGAATTTGTCATTGCGAATCCGCGATTCCCGAAATGAAAGATAGCCTGTGTTTATAGGGAGATTGTCTTCTAACTTTTTTCTCCAACATATCAGTAACATTTCAATGGTATCGTCAAAAAAACTTGATCTCTTGTTTTACTTCTCGTTTGTTGAGTGTAAAACTAGACCAAGTAGATTTGGGTAGAAAACAAATCACAAAATCGACATTAAAACTACTCGATACTACTGTCAAAAAGTTAAAAATTTAGACTCGCAAAGCGAATTTCCGCAGATTTGTTAATTCGTCTGCATTTTACGGAACGCAGCTCGTGCGTAGCTTAACAAACTATACAGATGCACACACTCACACATACAGAGCTTTAGTTTTGGTAAGCCACTCTTCCGGTATCATTTCCTTCTTTTTTTGTTTGTTTGTTTGTTTGTTTTTTTTTTTTTTTTTTTTTTTTTTTTTTTTTTTTTTTTTTTTTTTGATACTGTTGCAACGATGTAACGCGATCTTGTGCTTCTTTTTCTCGAAAAAATCCGCAAATCGGAAGCAATCTATACATGTACATATGTATACGTGTATAATGTGCGATGATCGTGACAGATGATTCGTATCATTCCAAGTTTTACAATAGAAATGTATGTGCGCCTCGAACGGCGGGATACGTGAGAATTTCGGCGCTGTCAAAAGCATTTCCGTACGTTTATTATATTTGAAGCGTTCATTCAAATTCATTCAAAATTCATACCGGAACTACAGAAATCGATTGTTTAGAATGGATAATATGCAGCATATTCTAAATCCATACAAATAATAATTTGCGCTCTAAGTTTTGCTCATTACAATGCCGTGCGTGCACTGAATAATTGCATACACGAAAGGTCATTAAATATATATTTCGTAAGTGTCTTACGATGTTTCAGACGCGTCGCTTGGATTTGGCTGTAGAAGTTAGCTAGAAAACATTCCCCGATAAAAATATTATTTTGTTGATTGACTTTTACTTATTGTTAGAAATGTGACTTGAGTCTCTATCATTTTTAATCAATTACTTTGAAGAAACTTCGCAAGGTGATTTTAATTTATGTGATAAATAAATAAGAATTAAATATATTACATTGAGAGACAACGAGACGTGAAGTAAATTTACACCATTATAGATCATTTTATCCGTTTCCGATAGCTTATTTCGTTGATCACATACAAGCATTCCCGCGCAATTCAGGGATTTAAATATATCTATCAGTTTGTTATATACTTGTTATACTTTCTCTTTTATCGCAATTATCTTTTAATTTATAACGCGCAGTAATTCTTCTCTCATTCATCTTGAAAGACTTGATATAAAAAGGCTGTAAATCACTTATCGGAAATTCTTTATTTCTTCGATTTTTCGGTTGGAAAATACTGTTCGCTCGAAAACACAAGAAAATAATTTTTTCCTGTGTTCTATTTTTTTAAACAAGCAAAGATCTTCTAGTTTTTCTCGAAAATTTTTATTCTTAATATTTACAGCTCGTTTTTAATCCTACATTATTTAACACTGTTTTGTAATGCATTAACGTATACACCGTCGCAGAAGTTTTATCAAAACATTGATATATTGCACCGATATCAGAACCGATTTCGGATAAGACTTTCGGTTTTCGATACATATTTTCGTTCTTGCACCATGGTGAATTATCTCACTTCGAGATAGGATGTTGTATTATTATTCTAGCAAGTGTTAGGCTTGTTTTACAAGCGGTATGCTGTGATAATGTGTGCTGTACATGACGACACTGACAAACGATCCAAGCGATGAAAGTCACTTCCATGCGCTCCGTCGTGCACCGAAACGGACGATCGAATCTTGCGGATAACACGTTACATCGCTGATTAGTTTTCTTATCTCTCTAAGCAACAGCTGAAGCCGGCCTGCGACACAAGACTACATAGAATTCATCTAACGATTCTGCAAAAAGAAAGAGACAAATGAACTTAAACGAATTGAAAGAAAATCAATATCAATTGTATTGTAATTATAATCTAATCTCTAAAATCGAAGATACTGTTTTCAATTTCCTTTTGTCTCTTCTAGTTTTGACACATTGATGAGATATACGTAAGCGCATATAAAGAATGTAGCGTAAACAACACAACTCAATTTTAAATATTTAAGATTTTCTTTCGCAAAGTGTTTTTTTTTCAAAACAAAATTTCGAAATAAATAGATGACAAAAAAAGCAAGAGAAAAAACGATATAACAATTTAGAAGATGAACATGAATTCTCGTGGAAAAAATTTCTATCAATTCCTTTAAGTTCATTCTTTCTTGCGGAAGAAAACCGCGATCTATAAAGTTCCTATTTCGTAAGCTAAACGGCTAGTCGCTCGCACCGAAAGCGTCCGATTTCTCGATATTCGCACAGGAGAAACACGAACAAGAAGCTCGTCGATCAACGAGATTGAACGGATTCTCGGATTGTGCATGATGGATATGTGCGTGATGAACAGACGAATTGACTTATACTATTTGAAGTGAGCGAAAAACGCGATTATGTTTTTTTTTCGAGCGTGTTTTACATACACGCGCGCGATTGGGTCGGAAGTTGGTGACGCTTCTGAGACAAGGAATGTTTAGTTGATTTTTACGACGTGATAAGCAAAATCGATTCACTAGCTCACACCCGATTTCACTTAGACCCGCAACGATATTCTCATTATCATGTAAAAAATCAAGAAATAAAAACTAAACTTTGTGGCGTGCACCGTGGAATGAAAATAACTCGAATAATTGTACGACGTTGTAAATCGTGTTAATAAATTTCGCGTAGCTCTATGACACGTTTGTCTCACATACGACACGCGAAACAATTAAATATAAAATGACCTCGCCCCTTAAACTGCTGCTAACAGAAATGTAATTCATTACTAAACAGTAAGTTGCATGCAAAATAGAGAGTTTCAGGAAAGTATAATAATATACAGAGAGTCTCTTCTCTATCGACAAAAAATTATGCGAAAAAAATATATAAGATATTTATATTGATTGTATTGCAAATACTAAGACAAATGATTTACTATATCAGAATGCTCACATATATTGGAACCATATATTTTTATTAAGAAAATTTATGCGTATATAGCATGAGAAGTTTAGATAGCACAATAGAAAACTAATGTCTTATTACATGCGCGTGAATTACATACGTTTTTGTTACGAGCATTTTGAGCGGCGAAAAAACGCCTGTTTAAGTTACTATGACCATGCAGACTTGAACCCGACTAACATCATTTTGCGGCTTGAAAAGAAGGACGAGAGCGTTCTCGTATTTTGTGTACGTCGCACAGTGTGCCAGAAGTAAACGATCTAGAGGGAAATAATTATTTTAGCAGCACCTCTGCTAAAAGATGTACTAATGTAAATGACATTATTAAAACAAAAGAATGTGTACACATTCGATTAAAAAGCTTGTAACGTAAAAGTTACAACAACATGACAAGAATGTTACAAAATTGATTTTTTTCCCTCTAGATTTGGTATTTTCACACACTGCGTCGCTTCCTTCTGCCATCACGCCTACATAATGATTTCTTGGTTGTTCCGGGTTTTGAAAAGATGTTGAATCATGTACAAACAATAATGACTTTTACATCGCATAACTTTGTCGACACGATTACGCGTTATCGATTACTTGCAGTTCCGCGTAAACAGGGGGAGAGAGAAAGAGAGAGATATATATGAGTATGTGTATAAAAAAAAGAGATTTGTCTCAATTGCGAGAAAGCGTGCTTTAATACGCGACGGTAGCCATTGATCCAGCTGATTATTCTCTCTCGTATCAATAAGTAACCGGAGTCAAGCATCTCTCTCTGACAGTTTTTTATGACACCTTTCCACACAAAGAGCTTTATGGCATCGCGTCAGATCTGTACTGTACTTCTCGGCGCATTTCTCTTTGTTTGTTTATAAGCGTGTACATTCTTTATAATTGTAAATGAAAAGACATTTCATTGTTAAATTCTTTTACATATTTCTCTTATCCTTCCTGCGATCTTTTTTTTGTATATGACTATATTATTTGACCGTTCGTAAATTAATAGTGTTTTCTTTCTTTTCAATTTAATATTGACACGGAATATTCTATGGACATTATGCCCATGAAGTTATATTATAAAAGGAAAGCGTTGATAAAACAAAAAAACGTTTTTCTCTGTAGAGAGTTTTTTTTCTGTAACAGAAATGTTTTTGGTGACAGTTTCGAAATGTCCGACAGTTTTGCCGCGTGTTAATTTCACAAAAAATTTATTATGACGAAAAGGCTACAAATAGTACGTGTTGATAACGATCTGGTGCAGAAGGCAAACTTGCAGATCGGGAATAACATCATCGGCCGAGGCGCTGCGACAGGAGTAAGTTATTACGTCAGTTCTATGGACATTTCAAAAGTTTATCGACTTTTCTTGAAATAAAATAAACAACAGAATTTTTTAATTTTTTTCTCTCTATCTTTAAAAAGTAGCGTTAGAATTTTTAGGTAAACAACATACATTATTCAAAATTCTAAAATTACTAGAAGATGTATGTGCAGATGCATAAATTATCCACATATCGAGTGACGAATAGAAATTCCAGGTTTATTGCGTCAGGATTCGTTACAAAGTGTATACGCGCGCTGATAATATTATCGTAAAGAGATCTTGCTGCACGGTTTATCTCGCGGCAAATAACGTACATTAGTTTCTTCCGCGTCGACATATTTTTTTGTTTCGATAAAGCGCGCGCGAGTTAACGAACAGCGCTCGCCATCTAGTAGCAGCGATCTCAAATCAGCTGACGAATATTGCTCATAATCACGTGTTACTGCGCAAATTAATTTCGCATTGAAATAATTATTGTTAAACTTATGATATTCTGTTTGTAGTTAATGTGATATTCTGTGTGTGCTTCGCTTTATCAGAAAATTTATTTTTGCATGAGCGTCCTTCGAATTTACAAATTCTTATCGTTATCGCATAGTGCAACGACGGACAAGTGCTCAAACACGCGGTGACCATCAACTTGTCGCCGGATGATGAAATGACAATTACGCCGGTGAGATTCCTTATGTTATCGCCTCGCGATGTATATTGTATAATATTTATTATTAATTCTTAAGGCACAATAATGTGTATACAAAATACTTTGTAATTCACATACAAATAAATTATCTTCTAAACAAAGTTAAAATGTTGATAATATCAGTTGTCTATAGAGACCATTTTCCAGTTAGGTGGTACCGTGTTATATGAAATCCGCTGGATGCGCACGATGGAAATCTCTTAAAGTAGGAAGCAGTACACAGATAAAACCAGGTGACGTTTGCTCTCTGCTGCCTGACAAATGCTGGTTCAAGATCATTTCAGTACCAGACATAATGACAGAGATCGATCAAACATTGAAGAGAAAAGTACAATGATTGCTGTTACTATTTACTAATTAATATTTACAATATTTAATAAAGAACTTTATGAACTTTATCAAAGCTCTTTGTATTTCAGGTTGAGGAAGATCTGAGTAATGAAACAAATGAGAAGAAAATGTGTGTATCATCCAGTACAAAAACTGTTGTATCTCCCAGTGAAGCTTTGAAGGATATTCTTAATGATAAGGATCAACCACCAACCGAGCATCAGAATCTTTTCAATAATGAAAACAAGGAACACAATGATGCACCCATGTTACAGGAAATTTATTTTGCGAGGTTTTATTTTAATATACGATACTCACATACGAACAAGAGAATACTTGATATATTAAATAATTATTAAATATCTTTCTTTACCACACGTATATAATTTTATTTTCAGCTCTTCCGAGAGAAGTGAGGTACCTACAATGAGTTCTAAAATATCGACAGACGCTCAGGATACAGCTGAGCTTTCAGTCCAAATTGATGGAAAGCGAAAAGCAGAGAACAGTAACTTAACAAGTGATACTACGGATGCTGAGTCGGGAAAGAAAACCAAGTGGGATCGCGATTTTCATAATAGTGATCAGACTGAAGCAGCTTCGCCGATAAAAAAAAGTCCTCGTTTGTCCGCGCGTCAAGAAGATCGTACACCGAGTGCTGACAGAGTTCCCAGAGACAAGTGCATGTATGGTTCTCGATGTTATCGGTAAGTAAAACAATACAATACCACCTCTCACAATTTCATTAAAACACACATGTACGATATGAAATTGACAAATTTGATCGTAGAAAAAATCACAATCACAAGAACAATTATAGTCATCCGGGCGATCGTGATTACGACGAGATCGATGATCGGGAAGAGTGTCCGTACGGCGTGAAGTGCTATCGCAAAAATCCACAGCACAAAACGCAATTCAAGCACACAACTATTCCGCGTCAACGTCGAAAAGCTACTGTTTCTGCTGCAGTGAACACTAATCAAAAACTAGACGAAAGCTCTTCCACGGAAGAATCTGTGGACGAATCTGATTACCAACCGTCGGATTACATGGAGAGTTCGGACTGGGAGGAAGACAGTGGAAGCGAATGGGAGGACGGCACGACCGGCTGACGAGACCTCTGCGTTCTGATTTAGATTTTAGATTTCTAAAACTTGTCACGTTTTTCGAGAGCGTTTGTTGTATATTACATGAAATCTATTTTGTTATGAAATATTTATTTTTTTACACCAACTGTAAAATATTGTATTTGCATCTATATTTGTTTACCACAAAGAAAAGTATAAAAAGTGTTATTAATATATCACAACTGACGTCATTCTTTCGGATTTTCTGAATACTTCGTCAGAAAGTATGAAATCTGATACGATCTAATAAACTAAACAATATTTAACACAATACATCTTAGAAACTTAATCTTAAGTAAAATTAAATTTTTCAAGAAGTCTATTTTGATTATAAAATTTTTCAGATCATTGAGAATTAAATTAATTATGATAATTTCTTTAACACAATTTTCAAATATACTACAAATTTATATCAGACATTTCTCTTTGCATCAGACTGATGAAGTTCACAATAAAATAATCATCGTTAAGTATCGTTTTCACGTATTAGAACGCCTGATAACCCTCGTCATCTTCAATGGCGTATTCTTCAGCCGCCGAAATGGCCACTTCAGCCAGCATGTGTTTTGGAATCTCCGATCCTCGTACTTTGATAGTGTAACAGGCGTTCTCCATTTTTCTCAGACTATTCTTGAGCGTAATGATCTTCTTGAACATTTCGTTACCACAGGCCAAACTTGTGTAGCCCAAAAAGGCCACATATATCTGCCTGACAAAGTTGCATGTCTGAAAGCAACTGGTAATATCGCCTATCGCCAAATTGTTGATACATCGTCGCATCAGCTCTCCAGTCAGGTCAGCGATGCCCAGGATGTAATCCGTTGGAGTGACCATGACCTGTGTCATTTTCTTACTCTCCTCTAAATTGTCTGAAGTCGGAATAGGATATGTCAGTGCACTTTCCAACTTGGTCCAGTCTTTCATACTGCTGTTCTGCAGGTATTCGTGGAATGTCAGTGCCTCTATGTATTCCTCTAGGCCAGCGCGATATGCTCTATGATACTGATAAGGATCCTGATTGTCTAGCTCGCTAGCAATATCTCTGAAAAATTTCTTGACTACATTATCAAGTCTCAGCTTGGCTGCTTCTAGCACAGCATCCTGTTTGCTCTCTTTGTCAATGGTATGTAGTAAAAAGATTATCCTCTTGCTTTCAATACAGATATCTCGATTGATCTTGAAAATTCTCTCGTAACGATCATGTTTATCGTCCAGCTCGGCCGCATATGCACGAAACTGCTGCACTACAAGACTGTTCTCATTAATACTTTCCACTACTTCCTTGCCCTTATCGCCAAGATTGATCTTGTCCTTGTCCTGTCGATGATGACGTCCACGATTTTTTCTTTCTGTTGCAATGTAACAGTGTCGTTCCATATTTAAAATCAAAGAATTGTTGCAACAATTAAAAGTTGAAAGGCGTATTGCAACAATAACATAACCTTCTTTTCCGATAATGAAAATTTTCAGACTTAGCTAAAAATCTCTTGAACTAGTTTTTATACTTCCGAAAAACACATTATAATATATAATATATAATCATAGTACATATTAGAAATTAATAAATGTAAATTTATGACAATTGTCAACATATTTTCACGTGGGATTGATATACGTGACAACAAACCGCGTGACATAATATAACAGAATAGAAAAATGACTAGCATCATCGTGGTTGGCAATTTACCTTTTTCTGGTGGCATTGTGATTTTCTTCCTTAATTTATTTTAATAATAAATTCAGTTACGCTATTAGTTGACACAGACAATACGTCTTTGTAACAAGCAGACGACACTTTGTTGCTGGCAACTTTTTATATAGGGGTAAAGGTGAAATCACATGATATGGAAAAGAGCTACGGACGGGAAGTGCGTCATTGAGACAGCCAATCATAGCTATTACGTACGATTGTATTCCGCAAGCTTTTATCTTTGATTGGCTGTCTTAATGACGCACTCTCCGTTTCGCAGTTCTTTTTTGTATTATGTGATTTTACCCTAAGTTCCACTTGCCGTTTGTAACGCTCGTTCGGAATCATTTCTCCTTGTTTTTCATCAAAAATTAAACAAAGATAGGTAACACTCACGAGCGTTGCAAACGGCAAGTAGAACTTATTCTATAAAGCACTATAAGCGCTGTAAACTGTAGCAAATTGAACATAAATCACTTTTCCGTCACTTAGGCGACAGAGACGCTGTTAATCTCTATTACATCATAAAAATATCGACTAGCAGTCTTTGGTTACATATAGGCTGTTATTTACAGTCAATTTTTTCACTTCCTAGATAAGTTTTCGATAACTTTATCTAGAAGATATCTCCCAAAATTGGTTCTCCTTATTGGTTCTCAGAGGAATTTATCCAGAGGATAGCTATCGAGAGGTATGAAGAAATTGGCCGTTAGGGGTATAAGCAGAGAGAAGACTGAGAGTGGCCAGGCCTATAAAAGAATGTGTAATCGCTTTTACGTCCTATAAGCCAACGCAATATTTATGGGTGGTGCACATTGGCAATTACGTAGCCATGTCCACGAATGACTTGTCGGTACGTACAAGTCATTGTACGGACATGGTTCTATTCCGTGCTATGTCAACAACCGTGCGGTTTATAATTGTGTCAGTAAACTCATTAATAATTGACTACAGTCACGTGACAGGGAAAAGAGTAAAAACAACACGTGACTCAAGTCACGTGAGTTTTAGGGTGCGTTCGCTTTGGACGGTTACACGCTTTAAGCGTCAGTCCAGTCTGTCTTTATTGTTGTTTAAATATACTGTCTTTTCAATGAGAGAAAGATCCGCGGTCTGCGCATAAGGGTGGAAAAGTGGGCAGAATGGAGAGAGCGTTGCGCGCTACGCAGTGCCTATATGTAAATATGATACACTCGGGCCCGAACTATTGGGCTCGAACGTCCGTCCATACACCACTCTGCTATTTACAGAATAATAACGGGCACTGATACCTACACAAACAGTAAAGCGCTGAGGAGTGGGAGGTTTTCTTCGAGTCCTGTCAGAGGAGCGACGCGCAGAACGGACGAATTTACGTCGGTCCACGGACCTTTTTCTCATTGAAAAGACAATAGAACAAAGATAGACTGACGCTCAAAGCGCGTAAGCGCCCAAAGCGAACGCACCTTTAGTCATGTTGTGTGCGTATACCCCCATCACTTCGATGCTGGCCGGCTGCTCGATTTTTCTCAACTCGACATTTGGACTTGTGCACATAGCACGGAATAGTACCATGTCCACGTTTGAACATAACGTACGTACCGACAAGTCGTTTTGAGGACATGGCTATATAGTTGTCAATGTGCACTACTTATGGACATCGCGTTGGCTTACAGGGCTGAAAAGCGATTACACATTCTCTTATGGGCCTGGCCGCTCTCAGTCTTCTTTCTGGTATAAGTAACTACCGAATGTATAGTGGCGTAAGTCGCGTTGCATCAGCCATGTTGGTTGGATGTGCGTAATTCTACTGTAAATATTTTTGGACACTTTTAGCATATGTTTTTGCTAACATTCTTTATATCTACATTCAGACACAGACTGGCGTATGAACTAACCGTTTTCTCGGTTCAAGAGCCACAAGCGCACCAAAACCAACCTGTATAGTGGCGTATGGACTAGCTTAGTTCGGTCCTTTGAGCCATATATGCACCAAACGTACCGAATCTATAGTGTATTTGTTTAATACAAAAAAACTATCTAAGTAGTAAATTATTATTGTTCCTGACGATAATTGTGGTTTTTATTTTATTTCATTAAAAAAAGCAACAATAGCAAAACTAAAACGGCACTTTACTTTTTGACTATTATTTTTGGTCGATGGCAAAACAATTTAGCGAAATTTACACCACTAAATGAAACTTTCAATAATAGAAAACTATCAGAATGTTATATAAAAATCACGAAATCTCATACGCACACATTTCTTGATTAATTTTAAGTGAGTTTGATAGTAACGGAATTTATACAAAGTTGAGAAACTTAATTTGAAGATAAGTTACGAAGTATTTCATGTCCGCGAAAGTTAGAAAAGAACGAAGAACGATGACCACCGATCAAGTGTTCAAAGTTTTTATTTAAAAAAAAAAAAGTGACTTTAAGTTTGTCGGGGGAACGCGCACAAGCTTACACTGCCGTTCTATGTACATACTTAGATGAGCGCAACTCTTGTGCAACATCCTATATAACTTTTTTAATTTATCTACTTTTTTGTTTGTTTATATATGACAGTGTTGTAGAGATGGACATATCTAACAAAGTATAAACAACACGTATACATAGACATGATTTTTGCTGCACTTTATTGTGTCGAGGGAGAAAAGTAAAATAAATGAATAAAATCTGACCAAGTAACGATGTCGCTATCAATCTTATCAAAAAAAGAAAGATGCTCGGTTAATTAAGGAATATATCCGATGTATGAAACATCATCGGTACTTTAACATGACTTCCGAACTTCATACGAGTCAAGAGAGAGGGAATCCTCCGGAACTTCTCCTCGAGTCACGTTCTTTGCGTCCTATTTATCGGGAATATTTGTACACACCAAACACATGCGAATGTAATTCTAAGTCTATCGACCGCAAATACCAAACGGCCGAAGACCAAGAGGTGCAAGATTGAGGACGGGCGAGGGCCGATAGCTCAGATGGAGTGTCTGCGCGGAATTCCGAGAAGGAGGTGAGAGGACGAGGGGAATGGTTTGGAATTAATCAGTACCGCTCTTCGGTAAATAACCGTAACGAGAATCCTTCGGTCAACTCGAGCCGAGGCTCTCGAAGAATTTAAGGAAGAGGCCACACATACACGCGCGCGCACGCTGATGCTGCTACGGACTACGACCGTTCGATAATGAAGCCCCCGCGCTCTCCCGATAGCGTTCGAAAAACGTTCGTAATTTATTTGGCAAGGTGAATTACTATTTTCCCGCAATATACCCAAGAGTAGATTATATAAAGTTATTAGTTGTTTAATTTTCTACAATATGTCGCGAGAAAAAAAACATTGAAATTTTTATCTTTCTACAATTATTGTGCGCCTTCGTAAGCATCGCACTGCTTTTTATTCTTTTCCATTAATACTTCTTCTGTAATCGGTTTTTGTTCGCAATGTTGGAAGATGTACAGTAAAAATTCCGCGTTTTTATCAATTACTCGCGAGAGATTTCGAACGGAGAACTATGAGGTTTATAAATAAAATTGATTACATGTAATGTTTTGCGGAACGTTTTGTTTGGAATACTCCAATATCAATTATTAACCATTTGGCTAATTGGCAGAATGTAAATGGGTAGAATGAATGGTTATATATGCGAATTTGTTTGTACAATATTATTGATAGCGGAATATAATATAATAGAAAATGTAATAAAATTATATTTCACGTTACACTTTTGATATAATTTTAAATTACATTTAAACTAGAACAATTTCTTTTTCACATTTTTTTAAGCTAATTATACAAAATAATAAAAGTTAATTAAATATACACGTTTTGCGATATTAATTAAAAATATTTAGGGTAAAGTTATTTAAGTTGATTTGCGTCTGATTAATAATACTTGAAGAAATTTCTAGTAATTGTCTCTAAATCAATCCAACGACGATAGTCGACACTAGGATTTTTCCGCATGATGCTCCTTGTAATCTTTGCGATAAGTAAAATTAGAAAAGCCGTCTGTTCGCGGACAATCAAGCGCAAGAGTAAATTACAGCGGTCGCCACTCCGTAATCCTGCATCGATTCCGGATTTCAGAGAGTCTATCCCTGGAACATCAAGATCATCATCTTCGCTGATTACATTGTGCATTGCGCAACACGGAGATTGATAAACATCGTGGCTTCCAATTAGCGTTTTGCGCGCAACGCGCGCGCGACTCGTCCGCGCATATAAATTATCTTCAGGCAGGTTTGAAAGGAACTTTTCGCCGACTTCCTCTCCTCGCGCCAATGATTTATGTCCGCGCCGTTTAACAAAGTTTTTATTCGCGGGCACCGAAGCTGTAAAGATGATTTATACGCATCTTTCTCCCGCCCCGGATTTCGCGGGGATTTCGTTTCGACGTAAAAATGCTCGCAGGGCATTTTGCGGCAGTCGTACGTATGGAATACGAATCGCGTTCTTTTTTCCGTAAATACCGTAAATAACATCACTTTTGTAATGATGGGAGGAACGTGAGTTGAAAAGTAGTTAACATGTTTCTTTGAAAATATATATCTTTATAAACGTGTTTCTCTCGCGAGATACTTTCGCGGAAACTATGTTGCCTTTTAGCACAGAAATGAACTTCGAGCGGGTGCTATTGCGCGCTTTCCACGAGATGTGAGTTACACTGGGAGTTTTGAGCATGTAAATGTACCGCGACGAGGAGGCACACTACTCGTGACGGTTGCGCTGACTGAGGATTGTGCGCGCAAACTTAAACGGACGCGGCCAAACGTGAAATCATAAAAGTTTCAGTTCGAAGGAGTTGCAACGGAGAGAAGAGCAGGCGCCATTTCGAGGCGCGGATATAAGCGAGCCAATGTCGCGAACTGTCGCAGTATATTTTAAGCCGTGATCACTCCGGAGGATTAAACTCTCGCGTCTCCGGAACCTTGCAAATTCGTTGTTTGAGTTCGTCTCCGTCCCCTCTCTCACCGATCCTCCATCCTCGCGCGACTTATTCGTCTAACTCCTTCCGGAGTGCCGTGTCTTCTCTCACGCGCGATTCCATAGGACGTTCGTTTAGCCGCAGGATCGTCCTGATCCCTATTATCCCTTCGGGATAAATTGACACGTTAAACGTCGGTACGTATAAACACCTTTCGTAAACCTCCGGGAATTTTAAGAGTAACTTCTCTATCAAGACTTTTTCAACAAATAGACTCTTAGTTTTGGAATATTATCTTGAAAAAATCTAGTGAAAAAGGAGTTTAATAACGATTCTAAGAAAAACATTTTAGATAAGAGAGAAATTAGATCGAGATATTCAGAACGTTCAAAATTTTACATAAACTTTTGAAAACTTTTCTAGAACATACTTTCTAAGAAAAAGAAATCTACTGAAAATTATATTGTAAAAAGTATGAAAATAAAAGACAATCTGAAAGCAGAAATTCTAAGATAACACTCAGTACAATGTTCCGCGTTACGCCACGTCGTGAATAACTCAAGCGCAGTGGCGATTCCGCACATTTAACGGCAATGAACCATCAGGACGCCTCGACGGGGAAATAAAAGGACCGAGAAGGAGCCCTGAGGACGCACTCGAGGAGATCCTCGCTCTTCACAACCGTGGTGAAGATCGGCGTGATGGGAGAGAACCTAGAGAAGATGCTGCCAGTTTCTTGCCACGATGCGGTTGTGCTTTATGCGATTTACTTCGTGATGCTGTTCTCTCACCCATTTCGTTGCGCTTTTCTTCGCGGTATAACGCGCTAGTCATGCCGCCGCAGGAAGAAAACATGGATTGTCCCGTAAAAGCCAGCGGAAAGAAGGCTTTTGAATAAGTAGATAAGCCCGACGGGCGTTCGTGTAAAATAAACGTCGGATTTTTCGCGCGCGATCCACTTTCCAATTTACGAGATTAATACCTCGTTAAAAAATTCGATATCAGTTTTTTCCACGAGGAACCATAATTTATAACTCACTACGTAAAAATGTTTCGAAAAATTGGGTTACACAAAATAACCGGATTAAAAGAGACTTAAAAACTTCAAAGAATACGCAAGATAAAAGTACACAAGAAAAAAATATTTTACATAAACATGAGCAAAAAAGACAGAAATATATCACAAGATATTTTCATGAAAACACGTTTGTAAAATAATTAAAAACTTTTTATTTCATATTTTCCTCAATTATTTTGTGAGATTATAGATAATAATAATTGTGATTAATGAAAAACATACAAATCTCATATTTGCATTCACGAGTGAAAATATGGCTTTCGTTACGGGCGAGTAACACGGAGATAAAAGGAAGTGTATAACACGAAATTGGATGTGTTTTATTTATATACAATATTTACAAAGAGGCGTAGAATGTGTGAATCAAAATCAATGGTTATATAAATGTTTCTCCGGTACGCTTGAACGCGTGCAAACGTGGCGCAAGCGTGTGGCTTTTCCTCCTTTTCTTTCACCTTCGCGCTCCAATCTCCATCAGCCATGGTCCAAGGATCTCTACCCTGTTGAACAATGGTCAACGACCCGGAAGCTAGAATTGATGTCAGCGCGGACGCCTGGATCTTTCTAGTCCATCCCCGTCTAGATCACCCGTCGTCCACTTCTCTTAATGTACTCTAGCCGGTATGTTTGATCCTTAAATGCAGCTCTCCTGAATATTCCTGCTGATCGACTCCGTGTGTGGCCTCTGGAGACTGTAAAATGTCTAAAATGGACCGAAATAAAAACTAAAGTATACTTGAGAAAGAGGAAATCGTTGATTGCAAGTGTTTGCGGAAAATGAAACGAAACTTATTTGTTCGTGTAATTATTGTGTACTAAACATTTAGAGCGGTATTTTATAACACATAAATACTGCAGAAGCTGTAGTACTTTCCGACAAAATTATTACGCTCTTTTGTTATACGAAACGTTCAATGGAAACGCTCTCGTTTGCAAACTCTGGGTAGCAAGAAGATAGCGATAAGCGGAATCGTAAAGCAAACCGGGATCGAAAGTGGTTTTCTGTGTTCAGGACTACCGGGCGACGGGCAATGCAGGCGCAAGTATGTGCATTCGTACTACGGACCACCTTAAATCAGAGGTTCCCAAATTCGGCGGCTTTTCGGAGTTTTCTTTGAATATTTTTTAACGATTCTTATGCGCCGCTAAAATTAAATTCTTAGTTTACGTGGTAGAGAAATATATATTTTGCTCTTAATCAACAAAAAATTGGATAAAATTCTTTACAGAAAGAATACCTCAATTATTAAACAACTATAGTTATTTAACGGTTTGCTGAAAAAAAAAAAATGTTTTTCTAACTTAAACGCATTTCTTTCGCAATTTTCCTCAAGAGATCGGCTCGATTTGGGAACCAGTGCCTTAGATTTAGATGAAATCGGATTACTTACGTTCGGCGATGCTCTCGGATAATCTGAATCTTCTAGGACGTCGTGGGACATCTCGCGTCCTTCCAGCTGACGTGGTCTTCGCGGCAAGGACCCGTAACGAGGAAGCTTTCTGTCTGGAAGAAGTCCCAAGACGGACTTAGCGTCAATCGTATAATCGGTTTGAAGTAAGCTCGCGGATTTCGCAAAGTATTTTGAACTTCTCGCTCCGCTCAAAGCAACTTTAGCGGTGCTCGCATCTTCCTCGCGTCTTTTCGATTGCTTCTCATTGTTTTGCAAGAGTTGAAAGTTCACGGCTCACGAAACGGAAGAAGTGAAAAATGCGGGAAAAAAGCATCGGATAAGCGCGCAATATTGCAAATGTTTAGAAAAACGCCTGAGAATGTGGAAAATTGGATTTACTGTCAAATATAAAAAAACAATTATGGAAAAGCAGGCGTTTGTTTTTCAAGCAATTCATATTTAAAATGACGTAAATTTATTTTGCAAGCTATTATAAATTTAACTTAGTTCTTTTAACAAAAATATTTTGTGAGGTTAAATATTAAGTAGTAATAATTGACACGAGTAGTTGTAATTGACACGATGATCCAAAATCATCCGTTAAACATTACTCTGTTTCTTTTGGAGTTTTTTTTCTACAATTCTTCACAGTGCAGATTATCGAACGCACACATTTCTATGTGTACATGCACCGTATATATGCCGATACATCGGAGAGAGAGCCGCATACCGTATGTGCAATTTTCTTGAGAGTATCGTTAATACACGCGCTATCTTCTGTTTGGTCCAAGGTAAAACCCGATATTCTTGAAATCCTCGTACAAATGCGACAGTTTCATCAGTCTAAGTAGAAATTCACTGAATGGAATGGCCGGTTATGCCCGAACGATGTGTACGTCTCCCTTCTTTTCTTAAAGGGGCACTTGTAAGCTTTAAACGGAGAAAATCCTTATATTTGGCTCGACGGCTCAACGTTTCGATACGTGAATTTTCGTATCTATTTGTATCCTTTTCAACTGAATTAAATACGACCGTTAAGACTTGAATTTTATATCTATATCTTGTATACGTAATGAAAACATCATTAATAAAATTAGACGAGCTTACCAGTGAGATGATTGGTCAAGGCTGTCGTAGGTATAAGGTCGGGATTGCCATCCTCCTCCTCGCCCTTCCCAGCAAAAGTCGCAATGGTCGGCTGTTGCGGCGGCTTCGACTTTGTTGGGGTGGCCGCATGCCGCCTCCAGAGCGCCATTAGAACGCCGGTCACGATTAACCCGAGACCGGTGGCCGTGCCCCCGAGTCCAATGAGGATCGGTGACATGTCGACCGACGTTGATTCGCCTGCGAATCAAATCTCGCTAGTTCTCTCCCTTATTCATATAAATAATGTATTTCTCGTAATAAATAACCCTCGTCTTATAGCTACTCTTATGTAATAGAATTTCTTTAGTCTCAATTCTGATGTGTTTTATTTAATATATCTTTCATGTCGTTATCAGAGAAAAGTTGTTTTGTATATTTTCTCTCTTTCTTTATTTATTAATTTTAGAGCCGGCAATATTTCTTCCTATTGTTTCTCTTTGTTTCGACAGGTCGCACTGCGCCCACTCGCGTAACGTATTCATTCTTAAGATTTGGCGCAGTAGTTGCGGTCAGCCGCGTATCAGGCGCGACCGGGAAGATCCAATTTACCTGTCCAACATCCCCTCGGCAGCCTCTCGCGCGTCGGCGCGCAGCGTAATCTGTTTCCAATTAAGGACGCGGCGCCGAAGTCGATCGTTCCGAACTTCGTGGCAGGTTGCATTACGGTGGCCTAACGCTGTGGCTGATTTGTGAGTTGCTCGAAAGGTAGGAGAGAAAATGATAGAGAGAGAGAGAGAGAGAGAGAGAGAGAAAGAGAGAGAAAGTATGTGTGTGTGTGTGTATATGAGAGGAAGAGGGAAGGAAAAGCCTCTCAGCGGATTAGGAATAGCTTCGCTCTGCGGGAAACGACGCTCCAGCCGCGTCGTTTCCGCGCCGTCGTTAATCATTCGGCTTAAACCATGCCATGTAAAGTGTACGTGCGCGTTATCCGTGTACATGGCGTCCTAAAATTACTTTCCTTTGGCAAAAACTTTTCAAAGTTGACTTACCCGCGATGAAAAGTCTAAATAATAATTACACTTCTATACTTCGATTATATAAGAGAATTTGAGTTTTAATTCGATGTTTTCTTTGTGTTTAATTTTTAAATTAAAAAATTAGAATCTTTTATGTATTTATGTTAATTATAAAGATATTATGTTTTCACATGAGCTTTTACTTGTTAGGTTTTTTATTTATTTATAAAAGCAGAAAAATTTTAAGAATTCTAACCGCGACTTGATTTGAAAGTTTATAAGAATTCCAATTGAGCGCATTTTGTGTGCAATATGTATATATATAACTGTAATTTTTTATATTAAGATTCTCTCTGCGAAATTTGCTCCGAAGATTATAGATATCACACGCTTGCAATCAAAAGGATTACATTACATATATGCAACTATTATTTCGTTTAGCCACGTGTATTTAAAAAAAAATCAAAATTTTGTTTTATATGTATTAAATATGTTGACATAAAATGTATTTAAATATATTGATAATTAAATTTCAATGTAAAATTCTCTGTTAATAAAAGTAAATAAAGAAAAATAGATATTGTAATTACTATAAGCAAAATTTAGAGTGTCTCAATACTTCCGTTAATGAAAAACAGATGACAGACTTGAGTGTCCGTAGGTGAAAGGAATGTTTCCGGTACACTCGATGTAAATTGCGAGTGTCGTAGCGAGAGCGCTGTAATTCGATCTTCCTGTAAACAGGTATCCATCGAAGTTGCGCGTCGCATCGGCACGGCGCAAACAACCGGCCGGCTAATTTGTTTCCAATTAACAATCAAGTTTCAGTTAAATACTAATTAACAAAGCACAAAGCGCATCTATTCTCTCCGCCAATGGTTGGCAAGGCGTAATTGAATACGAAGCATTCAAGGGACATGTTAAAGCAGGGCACCCCGTCCGAAGAGAGAAACGAGCTTCTCCTACTGCTTCTCTTAACGAAGGGGTCGCGTCTCTCCTTTTGCTCTGCGTTGAAACGAAAGCGTGGCATGCCATGCCCTGTGTACCTGATTTTGTGAAATTTCCCATTGGCACAGTCGACGACCCTTCCGACGAGTTACAAAACAATGAAGCTAAGTGCTTCAATACGATCCTATTCTTTCACGACGCAAAGTTAACAATAAGATATAAAGACAATTGTGTCGTTTTCTTCGGAAAATTTATTTCCTCCGTAATATAAATTAAATTTGCACATTCTCTTCGCACAATATTAGTCAAATTGGTCTAATTACGCAAATCTCGATAATTTTTTCTTGAATTTTAACATCCCTCTTGTACGAGTTAAAATAATGTTTCGAGCGCTCATGTTTGCGAAAAAAGTTTTAATTTCAGTTTTAATTGATCGTCAGCGATATTTAATGTCAAAATTAACACGCGAACGACCGAGCTTGCGGCCGCAGTTCAAATTTTCAAGAGAAAATGTATGTACGCTTTCGATTCGCTTTGCATATCAAAAGAGACGGGCATAATTCACGAATTATATTTGCGGGCTTGTATCTTTACTCTTATATCTCTTATATCTCTTCTTCTCTCTTCGCGATCAAACGTTTTGTCGCGGATTAAACAAAATCGACGATCGTTTCCGATTAGCGAAAATCATTCCCGCGAATCGTTTCCCATCGAATGTCGAGAAAATGGAGAGAAGAGCGACGGCGCGACGCGAACGCAGGCCGAAAGCAGAATGCATAATAATGGCTCATAAATTTTGACGCTCATAAATTTTCCGTGGAGAGGGTCGACCGCGCATGTTTCAGCGAAACCGGCAACGAGCTCGGCCGGTGGGTTTGACCTCGCGCGCCACGAACTGTTCAACGAGGATCATTTGCATGTCGCCACTAGCATTTCCGGTTGAGATAACGTCACGGCCATCTAAATTGAAGGATGAAACTTGACGCGCACGCTTATTCCCTAAATACACGAACACGAGCGAGAAGAATGAAAACATCACGCACGCGAATCTCACGACCGTTTCCAACCAAGAACGATCGACGATGGCGCGGCAATTTCTTTTTTGCTATATACATACGTATATAGTTTGTCGGATAGAAATTTTTTGATACAGTCGCAAAGTTTTTATTATATCGTTTCGATCTTTTATTTTGATGAAAAAAAATTGCTGTACATATAAAATTCGTGCGCGCCATTTTAATAAACCACGTTCGTTCGCAATCTTTCGCTGCGATTAAACAAAGCGAAACTCTTCATCACCGTAATTTCTACGGCACACATGTATTTTACATCGAGAAAAATCGCTTTTTTCTCTTTTTTGCACAATTACGGAAGTTTATACGCAGAAATTGGTGGAGTGCGCGGACTCTCCCGCGCAATATGCTATATTTTTTGCCTGCATCGTATTTTTACCCCCCCAGTAGTTCGAATAACAGGCGAAGGGCCAGCTGGCCCGATCGATAAGCTGCGATTTGATGCAAACGTCAGCTCGCTTGGAAGGTAGAAAAACGAAATAAAGAGCGCGCAATGAAAAAGGACTTTGACTCTAACACGAGTTCGAGATATCGATTTCATGCACTCAGGATTATTTGCATCGTGATTGAACAGATTAAGGAGATTTTCTCGAGAAATTTTTTGCAGTGAAGCGTTTGCCATGTATTGCAAAATGGTAGATCGTATTCTAAATCAACATTTTAAAAAGGATATTTATGAAAATGTAATTATGATATAATATAAAAAAATAATAATTAGATTATATAAAATATTGTAAATATTACTTGGAAAAAGATAGTAATAAGGATATTACGATTGTGGATGTTAGTAGAGAAAATCAAACCTCATCTTGCGACCAGCATCTGCCGAAATCGCGTCACTTATTTAAAAACCAGTGCAAAATCAACGGATTGTGCAACCTTTTGTGAGGATGCAGTTTGAGCTATTCTCCTTTTGTTCATCACGCCGGTGACTGGACTCGGTAGGAACTTACCTGTGAACTTGGCTACCCCTTTCGAAGCGACCTCAATGGCGTACGGCTCGCTAGAGCCCTTCGCGTTTACCGCGTAAAGAGCGACCTTCGCCGGCTTGAGCAGTGGAAACTCCCACGAAGGAATCGAGGATTCGAGACGCCGCTTGCCGACGATGGCGACGAATTTCTGCGGTAGACCGCCATCGTATCCCTCGACGCAAGATATCCGCACCAAGGAGCCGTTCAGATTGTAGGTGGTGCAATTCTGCAATGGGTAAGGTCTGCCTGCGAAGAAGATATGCGGCTTTGAAGATCGCAAGACCGAGAAAAGCAAGAGAAAGAGGAGTTCCGTGATTAGAGAAATTCGCTTCTTCAAAGGAGACGCGTATTCATTTTTCGAGCAAGGCTCCTCCTCATTTCCTCTCATCCTCGTGTCCTAGCCTTTACGTATATCCTAATTTTCTTTTCTTAAATTTCTGTAATATTTTGCATATAGATATGAAAAAATGATTGGTTCAGGAAAATAATTTAGAAAGCTAATAAAATTTCAAAGATTAACTTTTGAAAATTATTATTATTAAAGAAATTTTAATTAGATACTACACGTGTGTAATCTTCTTGGAATTAAATATTCAAAATATCATGATTTTTTTTCAGGAACACAAAACAGTGAATAAAATAATTAAAATAAAAACTTTATTTTCCGCGACAAAAACAGACCTGATTTATATTTTACAAATAGAAAAAAATATTCTTGATTACGCATTTCCAATTCTTTTTAACTCCGAAACATATGTCATACTTGTAAATAAATCAAAACAAAACCAATTCAATTTCTTTTGTTAATACTATTTTTCATGCTCTACTAAAGATTAATAAAAATTGATTTGATGTGTGCAATATTCAACACATAAACCAGCAGTATCAATTTAAAAACTACTTTCTTGTTATGTAACAAAATATATTGTGATCATGATTTAGATACATTCCATTTATCGTTAAGTGTTTACCGTAAAGTAAATAAGTGCAATCATTATTCTCTTCATTCTCTTTTATTTACTTAACTTATTATACATATATATATATATATATATGTGTGGATGTATATATATATATATATGAGTTGAATATATATATATATATATATATATATATATTCAAGAAATATATTCAAAAATCAAAATTCTGACGATATGAAAAAAGCGAGTTAGAACGTTGCAGTGCGCGAAACTCGTTTAGAGAAAATTTCGCTTTATTGTCTAGCGAAATTACGGCATGACATGGGTTCGTTTTCAAGGCAATGAAATTACGTTCCGAGGACATTATTATCGGCTACATTGGTGGTGCATTTACTGAGGATCCGCATTGTGCATAAACGTGACCAAAAAATTCTATCGTCGGCCATCGTCTTTTAAGGTTTTTCTCCCTAGACCACGATATCTTTTGCTCGTTACAACCGAATTTGCTTGCGCCAAAAATGACTTTATTAAAAAAGTTGTCCGGTTAAAAACATTTATGTACTTTAGAGATGCGTTATATTATTCCGTTCTTATTACATAAAATATTGATGCATTAATAGTTAATAAAAAAACTTTTTTTTAACGAACTTTTCAAGTTAAAAAATTCAAATAATGTAACAACACTTTACATATGTATATGTAGAACAGTAATATATTTTTACCTTAATAAAACGTGTATGTAGATACTAAAAAACAACTACGCAACCCGAGCTTTTTCAAACAAAATGAAATAAAAATAGTATGTCGCAGATTTTTCTTTGAAAACTTCGTCGTTCTGAATGTAGAAGCGAGAGACACATTGTCATTGTGCAAGTGCAACAAGAAAGCGGAGGGAGATCATTGCAATGTGTCTTGCCATTATTGCGTGGTCTCGCTGCATTTATTTTCACCGCGCATCGCGCAATTGCCTTTGCCATTGCTAATCTTCCAGAAAGTGCAAAACGGAAGAAAATAGTCTGGGGGAGGCTAATAGCGCCCCATCGTTGCTTACAGACGGCGGCGGATTAAAGCGCCGCGCTCTGTTCAAGCGCTTGTTTTTCGTCATCTGCTTTATTATCCGTGCTCATATCGCGCGTATAACTCGGTACCGTCGTTCCATTGTCGTGGAAAAACGACGGTATTTATAATTATCGTGCATTTTTTATGAAATCGAAATTATACCCGAATTAGGAAAAACTTGCGCAAGCTGTATTTCACAATCCGGAATATTTATCGTATATTCTTTCTCAACAATTTTGCAGATGTGATTATTTTTTGCATAAATATGTATATATATATATATATATATAAATTTCTCTTCGCGATTTATTTTATAATTCAACTATTGTTAAATTAACGTTTTTATACGACCAATTATCAAAAGATTAAATAAATACATTTAATTAACAAACATTGTGTCTATACAGAGAGATAAATTTACTTAAATATATTTTCCAACATTATTATTAAACAAAAAGCTGCGAAACAAAATCTAGAACATTCTGTGCAACTAGCTCGTTTAAAAGCACATGAACGTAACTTTATTAAAAGACGTTACCGAGAAAAATATATTTTGTTTTTCGACATTGCACGTTCGCAATATGTATTGTAACATCGTGTTTATTAAATGAAAAATTATGTTGAGTCATATTCAAAGTGACTCGGAAATATCGCTGTTGTTTTCGTCCGTGAATTCTCCGGTCCATTTAAAGCGCACTTTTCTATTCGAAGAATAAAAGACGAAAAAGAGAACGAGGACAGTTCTGGAATATCGTACATTTATAATAGATTTATAAACGGCGCGCGGCAGAGTAGAGAAGAGTACTCGGAAAGGAAGAGAAATCGAGGTCGACTTTATCACTTCGCCTCTTTGCGGCCGTCTTACGCGGGGATTACACGTTTACATCACGAGCTTGGCATCGTGCGCTCCTTGTTTACGATCTCCTTAGGACCGGCTTTACGGTGGGTACGTGCATCGCGAAATAACGGCACTCACCTCCGCTTCACATCATCGTCCCAATTTAAACCGCGAGCGCTCGAACAACGTCGTTGCCTTCTGTTTGTTAACAAACTGTGTCGATGAAAAATTCTTAAAGCGTAAGAAAGAAAAATAATTTTGTTTTAGTCTTGGAATTATCTTCCGCTCAACGGAGCCACACTGAGATTTTCAACTTCGTAAATTATTCGAGTTTGAATTTTTATATAATTAATATCTCTATACACGCGCGCGCGCGCACACACACACATTCTCTCTCTTTCTTTCTCTGTAAATAATGAAGATTATCGATCGATATCGACGCGGATGTTTGAATTATCATAGCGTGTGCAAAAAATTGCTATCCGGTAATTACATAAGAAATACATCGGACCAGCGCGCGAAATAAATTATGTGTCCAATTACTGTGCGAACGGGTGGGTCACGCCGAAGCAGGAAAAGTATAGTCCGCGAAGTTCACGGACCCGCATTACCGCATCCGGTGGACTACATCGATCCAGGTTTGTACGTCCGTCGTGGCGCGGCGATGTTGCTGTCCGTCGAAACCACGGAACGCCACAGATGCGGAAACGGACAGGACTTTTCCGCTCGGCGGCAGGAGGATCCAGGAACCGGCACGGCGTGGCGGCGCGACAGGCGTTATACCTCGTAATGAACATATTCAATTACGGTTTTCATTAAATTTCCGCAAAAAAGCGCGCGAGCGACGCGAGTGAATTTCAACGTGGCGCTTCCTCCCGTCGTGCAACGTCGCGTTTCTCTTTCTCGTTTCTCTCTTTTTTCCTCTTTTCTCTTTCTCGTCCTCTTTTCTTTTTCCTCCTCTTTTCTTCTTAATTCTCGCGCTCGTCAGATTTTCCACCGGCATCCGCAGGACAAGTCTCGAGTTGGAATATCGCGTGAACTCGGTATATTACAAATTTTAATTTATTCTTACAATAACAAATTTTAATTATTAATATGAGTTGTGAAAAATATGACGTATGGTAATATGTATTTTTAGCAAAAGATAAATGTTGATTTCACGTCAGCTGAAGAATTCGCGTTTCGGAATTGTTGCGAACAACCAGAATATGTGCAAGTATATATATACGTGTAAGGCGGTACCGACAATATTGAATGTCGAATATTGAATTTCGTGTATTTCGAGAGTTTCGAAAAGCCGAGCAAGATTGACTAGCAAATTATCCCTTGCGATGTATAAGTTATTGTGTGATCGGCTTATATAATATGGCTCTGCACCAACACACATACTGTATTAGTTTAATTATAAAATTAATTAAAAGATGGCTTTAATTACAATACTCTAAACCACTAAATTGTTCGAACACAATAATAGTTGTGTCACATACACCCTACCTTAATTACAGATTAACATTAGTACACAATAATGAGCGCGATGAACGTGTGGAATGGAATAACAATTGATAATGAATAGCAATCAGGCGGGACACGAGTCTCTCTTGAGCAGATAATATTGTCGCACTGTCTGGTTGTGTGTGCTTAACGTTTTATAAATAGCTAAATACATTAAACATGCAGTTTTAGTTTGTAACAGCTTTTTGCGACACAGGCGTGCAGGGAAATATGAAAAATAAACAATCTATATTATTCAGACTCGCAGAGTCGCTCGAGCAATAATTAAAAGTTGTTATTCGCCACGAGAGAGAGAGAAAAAGCAGCGTTTTCGATTTGACTGAATGAGAAATTGAGCATTACTAAACGAAAGTTTTTTTGCGTGACAAATTACTGAATTCCAAACTTCAACGTGTTCTCAAAAAAGAAACTCGTATGACTCTTTCAATACAAAGCATTTTTGCGCGTCACTTGAATTTAATAGAATTTAAATGCGTATATATATTAAATTGGTGGATAATATTTTTGTATCGCGCAACGTACATACGTGTGGTGCTGCTTGTCGTCAGAAGGTATCCAAACCAATAAACAATTTTGTCGACCAAAGCTGCGCCGTTTGCAGGTTGAATATTTGTTACGTACTGGCAACCGATAGTTTATGGATTTTGCAAATCTGCTTCGCTGAGGTTTTTTTTCGTGCACGTGTCCTTCGTTTGATAGTATTTCGAAGTATATAGCGTCACACACAAACACGGGGGATCTAAAGGATACGTTTTTGATATAAAAATTGAGTTTAGCGCGCAAAGCGAAAATAAATACAATTTGCACAAAAGCTGCAACGTTGAAATATCAATGTGCGCACAGTGCTGCTTTAATCCAATTATCACCGAAGCATATCGTACAACGTTTTGCGCCATTGTCCGGAGCTACACGCGTCATCTGAAAGAGAGATTCTAAGATGCGGAAAATCAGTATGGAAAATTCTTAACGGGCTAAACACGAACCTGCGGCGATGACCTGGTAGAGACAGGGCTGTTTGGAAGGACCGACGTCGTTGCTGGCCCAGCAGCCGAGAACCCCGTAATCCATATCGGTCGACGGGGTGTAATTAAGCCTGCTGGTAGTGCCGTCGCTGGTGTACTTGGTGGACGGAACATCGCTGAGGCCACCGCTACTGTTGAACGTCCAATGGAAGGTCACTGTGGTGGGGTTGGCCTCGACCTCGCAAACTAAACTTATGGTCTCGTGCTTGAGGGCGCCGTGCACCTCTTCGGGTATGTTGTACGGCGGCGGAGTGGCGTTTTGATGCCTCCAGCCGCTACCCGAGTTCAGCACGTGCTTGCAGATGGGCGCGACTGCGGCATAACGTATGGATTTGGGCGCTTTACTTAGTACGTATTCCGCGCACAAGAGAGAGATCCACGAGAATAACGCAATCAAATTACATACACACACGCATGAAACAAATTATGAGAAATGTGAGGTGGAATATAAAACAAGACTGCATAAACAACGGAGCTTTAGATAAAATATAGCCAGAAATGTATAATTATTATCCGCGCAGAGAGAAGGAGAATTAACGTGACGTTATGAAGAAATAATAACATTGCGAGTCGTTCGCGAGCTTTCGCGGTGAATTTCTATATTTTATTCATTCTGCGCTGATATACTGAATAATTTTAAATCCATCTACGGCGAGAGAACCACTGACAAGTCTCCGCTAACTGAAAACACTTTTCAATTTCTCTTTTGCAATGAGAGAGAGAATATTGTACTAAAATTAATATTAATAGTATATCCTGAAAACTAATGAAATATAAACGTAATTATACGCTAATTACAAATTCAAGATAGCAGTTAGGATGCAGTCACATTGAATTTAGTACAATACGCCGAATATAACGCAAGTCCCATCCCCCACACGTATGTTTGTTGACCGTAATACAGATAAAGTAAGTTAGCTGCGCAGTGCAAGGTAACCCATGATTTAATAGATGATTTAATTAATAATAATATTGTGTGCGCGCGCGAAACATATGCGATAGCACCGAGTTTATGCACCGGTTCTCTAAACCGAACATATATCTCTTCTTTCTCTATGTTTCTCTCTCTTTGTTACAGTTTCAGAACAAAAACGAGCATAATGCAGATGCAAGATAAACCTATGTCACATATTTCACATAACATTATTTAAACATTCTCCAAGCTTTTTTGATGCGCTGTTCAAACTGACGCGCGCCGGTTGAGACTACTGTAAGGAAAGTTACGATGCTGTAACATTCGCCGCACTGCCGCATCGCCCGTAATTTTCTGTGAAGTAACAAGAGGTGTTGAATTTCCGAAAAATATTCCAACGTCATCGCCGCACCGAAAGACGATGTAAAACACGCAGCGAACAAAAGATCTCCGATTTTTGCATAAACATTATATATTACACGGGATTGCAGGAAGAGAGTGGACTTTGCGAGATAAAGAATCGATAAGCCCTCACCAACGCATAACCACCGTTTTATTTATACTTTCCGATACTGCAAAACCGGAGCACCGCTGGAGGATTTACGCGCTCGGGATACGCTGTAAAATATCGGCGACGTCGACCAAGTAGTAGCGGACCGCTCATGGTCAGCCGCGAAGTGTAAAATCGTAGACTACATTTTGCCGCCATGCGAATCGCTTAGCTTCACAATATTCGGAATTTTCTGTCTGTTTTTGTCTATATATTTTGTATAATATTTCAACAACTATTTAAAAAAATTTATATTTGTTTTATTTTTTTAATTTTTTTATTTACTATCTAAATTCCTTAAAAAAACTTTAGAAATATTCTTCTAAATTTTCAATCTAAACATTTTGCATTCTACAGTTTTAGCTATGAGCTTATGTTTGCGCATTTTTCTAGAAGTTTCAAAAAGCTTCAAACTGATTGCTGAATACCAACGCGAAAGTCGTGCGACAAGAGCTGCGCGTTTTGGCGACATTCGTCGTCGCGGAATTTCATCACGAGCGGAAATACAGTGCCACCGAGGCCATTAAGCGGCATTTTCATGAGGGTTCTCTCTCTCTCTCTTTCACCAGTGCCGTCGGGCACAAGAGCGCGTAAAACATACTTACACATAACCTCGAGATTGACTACGTTGGACTTGGCGCGGCCCTCGACATTCGTGGCCATGCAGGTGTACCCTCCGGCGGACTCTCGAGTTATGCTCTGTAGCACCAGCGAGTGGTCCGAAAGCACCACACCGGCGCTAGAGTTGTGATGCAGCTCCTCCTCCTGAATAAGCAAACGAGTCTCAGTGTCTTCGAGCGTCAAAGAACTACCGTGCTGTGCGCGTAGAAACGATCCTAATTTTGTTTTTACACGACATCTCATTGTCGATCTGAATAAATATTAAATAATATTATTTTTGGATAACGCGATTATGGTTAAAATAATTTTGGATCGCATAAATCAGATTCAATTTAAACCGATTTAAATCGATTATGAACTGAAATAAATTGGGATTCGAAGATTTCCAACTTTTTTTGTATTCGAATTAATTAAATCTTGAAGTTTGCCAGTTACGAGAAAAATTTCAACTATCTTCTGAATGGAGTAACACGCGAAGACGTTTGCAAGCTTGCACCGCATACAACAGATGAAACACCGACGATCGCTTCGCACGCGGACGTGCGCTTTCCGCGTCAGATTCCCGCAGGACCGACCCGCTGCCGGCTCTCATTGTTGCCCGTCGCAAATAAACAAATTTGTCTTAGTCTTGGCATTCAGCTCCACTTCCGCCTCGGCGAAGATCGTGCTGCTGCTGTCGTTGCTCAAGGAAACAACCGCGGTCCGCTGCGGGTTGTCGTCCGCTCGAGAAGGTCGGACAAAGGGAATTTACGATGTACACTTGTCCTCCTTCTATCTTCTCTCATTCCTATTTCCTGTTTCTCTTCTTCTCACTTCCAAGCACTATTCTCTCTTTCTCTCTCTCTCCTTGCGATAATCCCACGCTTCTTTTTCCATCTACATCGTTTCCTCTTTTCTTCGTCCTTCCACGCCCTCTTCCTTCATCCGTCTCTATCATCGCTTTCTTACGATTTTTCGTTTTATTCCTCGTCTTTTTATCTGTCAGTTCTAGAAGACATATTCTTGGTTGGCAAATTCCGCCAAAAATTTGGCAGCTGCCTACTCGATAGTAAATTACTTGTTTAATTTCGTAAAATCCTATATTTTTTTCTTCAACTAGAATTTTTTTCAGTTTTCTTAAATATAAATTTCCTCTCTCTCTCTCTCTCTCTCTCTCACTCTTTTTTCACTTTCGACACATACTGTATGTGTCGAATAGTACTATATCATTCAAATAGTACTATATCAAATATAAAAAAATATTACATAAAATAAATATTGTAAAATTAGTATTTATAAAAATATTATTGATTTTCGTGTACAGCAAAACTGACAACATTAGCACGATAACGAAGTACGTGCGAATATCGGTTTACCTATTTGTCGAAATTAGTTCGAACCGGAAGGAGTGTGTTTATGGCAAGAGCGCAGTATCTATGAGCCTCGAAGAGCGTACACGAGCAAGCGGATAAGATCGAACGAAATAGGGTCGCGCGAACAATGTCGAGAGACGGCGGATGTAGCAGCGACCACAAGCTCGCGCGCGCGCCGCGCCTGTGTTTTAGATGAGTAACGAGCCCACGCTGTATCTGTTTCTCCACGGTATTCTCCGCTGAAACTGGTATACGTGCCGAGACGTGTTCGCAGCGGCGTCGCTGTGGGATCGGGAAGCGATATGTCTTTGCGAAGACTAGATATCGACGCGCCGTGAATAAGCGCGACGCGCGCTCGATGGCAATTGTTGCGTACTTCGATCGTTTTTCTCCTGTAATCGCAAGTTTACTGTTTTTTGTTTTAAATATTGTGTTTGTTCCTCTTTTAAACTTGCATTTTTTTTAGTTAACTATATACAGAATCGAAAAGCGTTCGCCACTTTTTTGTAGCTGTGATTCGTATTTTTTTTTTCGCGGATAATCCGCGATGAATAACACGTTGTCAACGAACGCGTGAACTATTTCCATCTCGAAAACTCTCACGCGCGGCGCAAATGGAATTTCCTATTTCGACGACCACACCTCCAGGATACGCCGCGGCCAATGTCCTGTGGGATTTGCGCACAGAGAGGACACTCTTCTCTCTCTCTCTCTCTCTCTCTCTCTCTCTCTTCCTCTTTCATTCTGTTTCTCGCAGTGCCGCTTCCACGTGGATTCACTGTATAACACGACGCGTCGTATTAGACATTAAATATACGTACTCGCGTGTCGGAAACCGGGGGTAATACGAGCGCGTGCCTCGTTCCGAGACAGGCGCGGAATATATCCGCGTCACCGGGTATAATATACACGGAAACCTGTCCGGGACGGTGCGCAAGAGACAGGGCGCGATAAGTTTCATCCCTCGGTCGCGCTCTCGAAGCGTGTGCATCTTACGCCCGTGTGTACATCTCGTCGCAAACTTCCGCCATCCATCCGGGTTTATGTATAAGTAATGGCTAAATCCTTTTTTAACACTTACGACTCGCTGTGCGCCCTTTTCGTGGCTGTCGCGCGAAAAGAGAAGGAAAAAAATGTTTTCTGTGTCAAACTTAAAATATTAATTAAAACATTGCAGAACTTAGATTAAAAAGTATGACTTATCGGTATAAGTTGGAAAATATATATTGTCAAGATACTTTAAATCCGTTTTTGTATGAATCTCGTTGAAAGCTTTGCACAGAGACACAATCAATATCGCGAAGTCTCGTGCAAATGTTTTCAAATATAATAAAAAATATTTTTTTTTGCAAGCAGAAAGATACGTCGTTGTGTTTTTCCACAAGCGACCTCTTCATTGTGTTTCCGCGATGAAGCGAAATACACACATCAATATCGAATTATATCATCAACGTTGAACAAAGTCTCGAATTCCCAAAATACGCATGACGCTAATTGACGACGATTCAATTTTCATTCGATCGGTCGCAAAATGCGAAATGCCGTTTATAATATGATATAATGATGTTATATCATAGAGTGGGCGCGCGCGCGCAATGTAACGCCCGTCCGCTAATGTTAACGTAATAATCATGTAGCGGCGATTTCGGATTTATGTTCCGGCCGATCGAACCCTTTACGCAGTATCCGTAACACAATGCGCAACAAAATTTCACAAAATATTACATAAAGAGAAACAGTGGAACATGACGATTTGATTGCGCAGCGCCCTGTAATAAGCCGCAATGTTTAAACGTGGAGATAAACGTTTAAACGTTAACATCGTTCGCCATCACAATTGAGTGGTTTTTAATTTCTATATATGGCGATCGCGTCGGTCAGTATTGCCGATAAAGTTTTTCCATTGCGCGAGCACACGCTTGTGCTGAAAACATTTTAATATCGATAATATTGTCGCCGCGAGTATCGACAGAATGACACAACACGTGTTTGCGCAGCTACGGCCGCCATCGCTAAATTATACAAGAGATGTTAAACAAATCGACAATCGCGTGCTCGCGTTACATGTTCGACGTGTATATGTAATCGCATGTGCATTATATCGCGTACGCGAATAAAACAAAGCGAAATCGGCCGAGAGGAGTTTCAAAGGAGCGTCCAAATATTTGTACGCTGCTCGCGCCCGCTGCGCGCTTCTCTTTCGATTTTCAGACGAAACGGTAGCAGCTGCCGACGAGCTGATCCTCGAATGTATCGCTTCGGTGGATGCGACTCGTCTACATGCGTGTCCCGCGTGTATTCTACGTGGCTGAAAAAAATATTCCGGCTGCCCGGCCATTGTAGCGTGCCAATTTGCACACATCCGTTTTTCTCACAACCGCGTAGATTGTTTCACGCGAGTTTTATCAATCGTTGTTTTACGTACTTGAGTAGCAAAACCGCGCATTTCTACAGATTGAAGTATGCGCATGTATTTGAAAAGCACCAAGATAAATTGTAGATTTTCGTAAAAAAAGAAAAATGATTAAAAATCTCAAAATTTGCTTTTGGCCAATATTCTCTTTATGTATAAAACTTAAAAACACTTTATTTGACCTCAAACAGACGAATCAAAATGACGGAACGTTCTTTGAACAATTAATTAAATTATATAAATAGAAAAAAAAAGTAATTTAAAATGCATTGTGTGAACCGAATAAAGTAAAAATGTAACACTAAATATACATGTCCTCCGAATCTCGGCCGAGTTCGGATTAATTCTGAATATTTAATAAGGATACGATTGGAGAGCGGCGATCGCCACCGCAGACGCGCGCAATTTTTGCGATGCGCGCTGGACATAGGTGCGTTCGCGCGCAAACATACGCTTGACGCGTTCCCACTCGCAATAAAATTTTCGTCGCACGAACGTTTTTACGGATTGGTAAATCAACGGCGACCGGTGATTCGTGGGCAATTTATCGGTTCGGTTCGACGAGTGGAACGCGGCGAACGCCGGAGAAACGGGAGGTGACAACGGGAGCGCTCATAAATTGACAATAATTTCGACGAGAGTGCACACAGCGACGATCTCGCGCGCGCACGCACGCACGCTCGTCACGAATGGCTGCAGACAACAGTCCAAATTATCCTTGCTCGAAAACTTTTACTTGGATAGAAAGAGAGAGAGAGAGAGAGAGAGAGAGCACGATGAACTTAATATTCCTCTTTCCTTCCGCGTTTCCAAGAATTCACCGCACTCGTTCAGACCCTTTAAATCCTTCGGGAAAACCTAGACATCGGTAATCGCTTCACTAAGCGCGAGGAAAGTGCAACAAAGCAGATTAAAAGTTGACACTTGAAAAACAAAGGAGATATACCGAAAGTTTACTTTGGTTCTTTTCAAAAGTACAGAGAATTACTTTCTTAATTTCTAAAAAAGAATCCTTCATTTCTCTCTCTCTCTCTCTCTCTCTCTCAATACTTTTAATGTTGTAAATTATTTCGAGACACGCGCGCAAGACAGAGAATATCTCCCAAAATGTCTCCGACTTGAAACAGTTACAGCCGTCCCCTTTATATAAAATACGATCCAATTAAAAGTTTTTCTCTCCGGGATTTACGGAGGTAGAAGAAAATTCGCTCGACGCGCGCCGCCGCTCGAATGATACTGAGTGTCGCCTTCGATTTTCTCGCGCGATTCGCCAGATCGTTTATCCGAGACATGCAGCAGCAGCGTCTCTCACACCTCGCGTCTCTCTCATCGTCCTCGGTTGTCGTCTTCGCTCTCTCAAGCGTGCGGCGCCGGACCGATAAATAATTCGCGAAATTCCACTTGGAATTCCCCCGAGTCGTGTTACGGCATCTTGCCCCCTTTAAGGAAAAATTTTCGTCCCCTCCGGCAGCGCACGCGACTATTCGAGAGAGAAGATAGTCCCGTGTAAGGTCGTGCGAGGAAGGAGAGCAACACGGTCTTTTTCTTCCTTTATGAAGGTCCCTCGTCCTGCTTCTTAAAACTTTAAAGAGGACAGTCAACATTCTTCCTCTCGCACCCGTCTTTTCGCTTAAATATGCAACAGTGTCTCGCTACCGGAACCGAGACAAACGATCCGCGAAATTGTCCGAAGTTAAGAGTGTATATGCGAGAGAAAGAGAGGAGCACTATACATACATACACACTTTTTGCTCGAAGCAACGTTATTCTTTGTATCTCCTTATATTGAAATAAATTGTATTTCTTTTTTAAAGAGAAGTGTTATTTTCTAAATAACTTTTTTTCTGTAAAACTCGTTTATTGTACTTCGCTTGTTCACAATTTTCGAAAAAAGACAAAACAAACACAGTTTGTACGCCATTCGATTGCAACACGCAAGTTTCACCAGTTACGAAAAAACGCGAAACGTCGCGTCGCATAAGCCAGGAAAATCGTTCGCAAGATTTTGTTGTCCACAAAAGAACGAGAAAAAGAGAGAGAAAATGATAAAGAACGTAATCTCTTTAAGAGGCTTAATACCGATCCTCGCGACCAAAGATAAAGATGAATCTGACGCTAATTTCTGACGAAACCGCTTTGTTTTGGAAGAGAAGCAAAACGAGAGATGTCGCGTAAACAATGCTTTTTCGCGAAGGAACAATCGTCCGTAGGAAACAAAGCTTTTTTTTGAGCTATCACTTCTCACTTTTGTTGTCGCAGATGATACGTCCTGCCAAAACAAAATGATTCACATCAATGTTTCGGCACGAAATAACAAAATACGCGTCGAGAGACGCAGAACGCAATGATGATGAAAGTAATTTTGCTTTAAATACCAAGTTGTACAAACAGTTGCGTATTTTTTAAAGACTCAACACACATAGTAGGAATTTTTGATACATGTTTTTTCTTCTTGGAGATTACTTTGTGGTAGTTTCCCATCATTACTTCTTTTTCTGCAATAAAAGAGCGATTTTTTTCCTTTTATCGTAATTTTAATATTCGAAAATGTCGTCGCGCAATTGCTCCGGTATTGCGCGATGATTCGCGTAATACATTTCGGCTAATGCCGTGCGGTATCGGGTAGCGCCGTAGGCGGATGAGCGTCCGATACGCCAATGTTAATGCCGGACAGAACGGGCGTACTAATTAGAGGACATTTCATTAGGATGCGCGTAAATAGCCGGCAAAATCGGTCGTCCCTGAAATTCCGTTCCGTTTGCAGTTCCGTTCGCCAAATCTACGCGCGCATTATCTCGGCGCATTTTTATCTCTTTTAACGTTATTAAAGCCGAATTGTATTAACACTGTATTTTTGAAAAATTGTTAACGCAAAACGCGTTGTTTTTATAAATCATATATTATCGCGTGTAAAGTCACGATATATAATTTATCGTTCACACATTTATCACCATTGGATCTTTGCTCGCTACTCATTACATAATTTTACTTTTTTAATATTTATTATTAAAATTAACGATAGGATTTGATAGTTTTTGATTGTTATTTTTACGCAAAGTTTCGACAAACCAATTTCTATTGCTATCAATTTCTCCTCTCGTGTTACAGAATCTTCCGCGGAAAGCACAAACACAGTATCGCACCGATGAGACTGCAATTTAGGACGGGTTGAAGGGTCATGTTGAAGGAGATCAACATATGCTCTACAGGCCAATTGTAACTTATCCGACATCCGACGTTTGTGATAATGATTTGACTAATTTATGATCCTACCGGATTTGCACAACAACTTAAAGAGTGCAACTAGAATTACATAAATCTGTGCGTTGCGACGTAAACTGTTCGATTTACAATTGAATCGCAATTGCTAATCTCGATTAGAAAAACAGAAAAACTATACTTGCCCCGTGGAACCAGGTCAGTTTATACGATCTGGGATTCGCTCTGACGTTGCACTCGAAGTACACATCGCTGCCCTCTCTGATGTTCCTCGGATCCAAGCTGGAGCCCATTTTCAGACTGGCGATGGGCGCGACTGCAATCAGAAAACGTTGAATGCCGAACAAGGAAATGTGACACGCACAAACATATAAATTAATATTCAGATTTACGCAGAAGTTCTGTCGAAAATACAAGATAAATTATTTTGAGCGCGACGTTCGGAAAATTTAACATATTCCATAGGGAATTCGTGCGAGATCACGCGGTGGAAAAAGATCGAGCGTCCGCAAACGTGTCGGGATGTGACATCCGTCGGTAATTTATAAACGTCACTTTGACATGGGGCCGTTATTTATGAACTAGTAGATACCGATGCGCGCACGGCGCGCAATAATATTGCGGATATTAACAGACGGGGAGTTTAATGAAATCTGCATTTTCGGCAGCAAAGTCAAAGCGAAAACTCGTCACGTTTGTCCGGGATTTTATTAAGCGCGATTGTCTCGCGTAATGAAAACTGTCACTGCTCAGTGCGTCCCGAACACGATGTGCATCAGTGTATAGAAATAATTCGGAAATGATGATAATGATGATGATGATAAAGGTGGACGATCGGGACTCGAAATTACACGTCGCTACCAATTGAACAGAATATATTATATCTGGCAACTGATAGAAAATTTTCCAATTCTCGTGTCAGTATGCAATTAAATTAACGTTCCTAATAGAATAGTCGCGATCAAAAGTAAATAAAAATATAACTATTTCTCATAAATAAAGATAAATTAAAATTATGACGCATTTCATTGTCACTTCCATAATGTATGCGCGGTAAATAAATATTATTTATATGAAAATAATATTTATGTTATTTATATGAAAAGAATGTAAAATTTCCACAACTCTCGAATCTGTTTTAATTAATTAGAATTAAACACGTATTACTAATGAATTAACGATATATAAACGCGTGAATTATTCAATCTCTTTCATTTAATATAGATACAATATTTCTGTGAAGGTTTTTAAATTTATTATAATTAGTTAAAATTATGTAGTACATTTTGAATCTAATTTAATTAAGCAATCGCCCGAATTATATTTACATGGTGTTACACTTATTTAAGCCTGATTGAATTGTAATCTTATGTCGTAAATGAGAAAGGACGCAGCACGACACTATGACTACATCTAAAAGAAGAACCTCGATGTTCGGTGAAAAGAGAAAACGATAGAGAGAAAACTTCGAAAGTGTAATGTTTTGCTCTATAAGGCTATTATAAATAATAAAACCAAAATCGAATTGACTGAAAACTTTTTTATACTAGCGTAAACGAAAAACAGCTCAAAGCTTAAAGTGATTAATAATAATAATAATGCCGCTTTTTCAAAAAAATAATACTTTTCTCAGTGACACTATCGTAGCTGAATATCACAATTATAGTAAATACACTCTTCTCGTGATATATTGAGCTAACGATAGATGTCGAATCGATAGATCGCTCTTCTCATTCAGTTTCAACTATATCTATTGCCGGCTGTTATTTCGGACACCTTGTATGCGATCGAGGGATATTTGTAACGCGGTGCAATCGCGTATAATTTCAATTACAAGCGTCCTCGCGTACGCGATGGGTATAGCGTGCGTAATAGTAATTGCATGTTAATTCAATCTATTCTCGACGCGGTGATAAACGACCAATGAGAATCGCGAGAGGGCGCATGTCGATAAACAAAGTGGCATTGATTTCCGAGCGAGTGCGAAATTTCCATGACCAGTTTCCATGGCCGTCCACCTTTCTCATGCAATATTTTTCTTCGATTTCCTGTGCAGTATCGACTCGCACTCGCGCGCACGCGCGAGAAACGACGAAAAAGTTATCATTTCTCCCAAGTGAGAACAAGCGACTTTTAATTAACGAGTGACTTTGATTAAACGCAGATTATATCGACGGTCTACAGTGTATACAGCTCGATAAAAATACACACACAATCACGGTTTTTAGAGTCCCGTTAGAAAAATCTGCGAGAAAGTACAAATAGTTTGCTCGCTTCTTTTCTCGTCATCTGTAATAATCGAAGAAAAATATGCTAAATGATATATACTGGTTTATATCAAAATATCGCTAGATTGAATAAAAAGAAATTAAAGACTGGAATTAAAGTGATGAAAAATGTTACGGAAAAGTATAAAAAATAAAAGTGCACAAAAAACACTTTCAATATTCGCTTAAACTTTTCATTAGAGATAAGATAGACAGATATTTTTAATCGTTAGAATTTGCACCAGCAGCGTACAAACTCTGATAAAATAAATTTCGCAAAGTGAAACATCTGCTTGAAGAAAAAAAAACGTTAGATTGATAGAAAGGCGACTGTACGCGCTCTTCTAAATAATTTCCGACGTTAATCGTGTAGTCACAGCGGATTTCATCTCGAACTCGTTTGCTCGCTGAAGTCTGAATGCGTCTCGCGCAGTTAGTTTCTACGCCGTCGCGAATTTACGCGCGGAAACGGAAAGAGCGAGAAAAGAATGAGCACGAGACGAGACGTGGGAGAGAATCGTCGACGGTGCGGAAAACGTGACTTATGACAAAACTGCTCCGATAAATCTTCTGAATATAATGCGGCGGGCAATTACACAATGTAAAACTTTAATTTTTTTTTACATCACGTGTGTGCGCGTGTTTGCAGACAGACTTCGCGTAAATTTGTAAAACGTTTTTTCAGCCATATAAGTGACTTCTACGTAATTATACTGCAAACTAAAGAACATCTCGAGAATGATGCGTAGAAAATGTAAATTTGATTTTTATATATCAACGTTTTTTTATCTATGTCGAATTTCTTAAAATATAAGTACATATACCGAATTATATTACTGTTATAACGAAAAGAGTTACATGCAGTAAGTTTGCATATTTACGATATTGCATACTTATGATATGTAAACTTTATATAAACGTTGCACAATATATAAACTATATACTTTTGTTGCATTCGCCGTGCAAATTTGTGAGGTCGCGTCTTCGCGATTGCAGTAGCACAAAATCTGCGATCGTGTTACGAGCGGAAGATTACATTGAAATGATATTGTGATATTCATTATCGGAAACTGCTGATTGCGTCGATAAACACGACTAGCATAGCTCTTGCGTGATTATGCATTGTGTAATCTTATATTGAAATAAATCTTATATTGCCGCAATGCACATCGAATCATTCTAGATTTCGTGCGTAAACAATTTTACGTAATATTTATTTTGTAAAATACCATGTGTAGTATATTTATAAAATTTTCATTGAAGTTATGTAATATTTACAGATAAGAAATAAAAATAAAAATTTTTGTAAATTTATGTGATTGTAAACGTTCCGTTAATCATGTGATATTTTCAGTTTTTGTTCATATAAATTTACATAGATACTTTTTTTTCAAGAGTGTGTAGCATACGTTCGATATAAACGCGCGTGCATGCGGTGACACACAATATGCAGGCAGACGCGATGCAGTCGCGCACTGAAATTCGCGGAATACGTGCGCATCCACGTGCAACCGCATCCGCAACCCTCAGCGGGAGGATGCTTCCTCGCACGTGAATTCGAACGCTTAAGCCGCGTTTAATCCTTTCAACAGCGGTCCCTTATTTATAGAAAAAAAATTGTATGTTTGTATCTTTTTGTACAAACAAATATTCTGAAAATATTAGGAAATTTTTTGTGCAAAATGTGTTAGTTACTATATACTCAAATTGGAGTTTTCATTATTGCGTGATATATATCCTAAAAGAAAAAAAAGAAAAACATGGATATTTTTGAAAACCATCTAGTTACCAACGTGTTTTATCCTGCAGTCGAACAATATTAACACAAAATGTCGGTTGTTCAAATATTTTCAAGCTTTTTCCCGTTTATTCTTTTCTCTCCTTGCAGGCGCGCAAGCCTATTATTGATATTATTTTACGAAATTGATTTTTAAGCGGCGCTCCCCGCGATATACGCGTTGTATTTTTCGCGCGCCGCGTTCCCACCCAACGAAATTGGTCGGATGATTGGTTAGCGGTTTCCGATCGCATCTCGATGGAACCCGGCAAAAAGCGACACGACGCGAGCAATTATCGGGCCGCGTCGAGCATTTTTATTTCTGCGGGAACACTCAAATCGCGACACTTTTTTCCGCCGGACACGCGTCGCATCCGCGCGCATTCGAGTTCTGCGCGAACCTATAACTCTGTATTGAATTGCCCCTCGCTCCATATTATTCATACTATACCTTTGGGACATCCCCCGGATAATAACGTGTCGCAAAATATGAAAAACGATGGGTATTATGGAAATAAAAAACTTTTCATGCTGTTTCTCTTCTCACGTTAATGAAATATGAGATGTTCCCGCGCGCACAACACAGTTCTATTCAACACTTTATCTATGATATTAAATTTTCATATCTAATTAATACGTAACACACAAATCTTTCTAAGGATGTAATAAATTAATATTTTTTTTTAATGCGCATTCATATAGCTACATAGTAGTTTACAATGTTCTCAATAATATTCTCCAATGAACAACTTAACGAGTGATTGGTTCAGAATAAAGTTTGGCATTCTTGAATCGCGATTATTGCTCGTTCCAGACACCCCGTGGAGATCGCACTGTGAGCCCTACGACTGCTTTCCTTTCTCCGAATGAGTTCGATTCATCAAAGTTCTTGCCAAACTCGCGATAAAGAGGGCGAGAAGAGCTTCAAATAAAAAAGTAGGAATAGCAGAAGACAAAGTGGGACAGGAAAGAAGACCGAGTGAGACAGTGTGTCAGGTGTGAGCGAGAGAAAAATTTATTGTTCAGAGAGAATTTAGTATGAGAAGAGAGAGTGAGGGAGAGAGAGAGAAAAAGAGAAAAAAAGGAAGTATTAAAATTATTTTACAAAACTTAGTTTTGTAAAATTAAATGCAAATTACTTGAAAACAAAACAAAAAAATATTCGATAAAGCAAGTAATAACAAAAATAATAAAGTTTTTAAATTTACAACAGGAGAGAAAAAATTTCGAGAGCAAAAATTTATTTGAAAGTTTTAGGAATATGTGTATGTG